ACCCTCTCCATTTATAAAACTTTGTTTCTATTGTTTCCTTCCATTCTTCTTTTTTTCAATCTCTATTTCCTTCCTTTCCTCCCCCGCCCCATTCCCATTCGAACATTTTCTTCCTACTTCCCAATACCTATCCTCCATTTTGCTCCTTATTCACATTTTGGGTTTCTCACGCAAGAGAAACAATGCGATATTTAAACATGTGTCCAATTTATTTCACTTAAAATTATGTTCTCAAAGTGCATTCATTTACCTAAAAATATCTCCAATTTATCCTTCTTTATGGCAGAGTAATACCTTATTGTATAGAAACCCCACATTTTCTCTATCCATTCATCTGTTGATGGGCATATGGGCTGTTTCTAAGATTTTGCTATTAGAAATAGCAAATAGATTTTGCTGCTAGAAATATTAGTGCATATATTGCTGTGCTGTAATGCTTTTAACTCTTTTGGGAAGATACCTACAAGAATAGCTGGGTCAAATGGAACCTCTAGTCTTAATTTTTTGAGGAATCTCCATAGTAATTTCCATAGTAGTTTTACCAATTTGGACTCCCACCAACAGTGGAAAAGGGTTCCTTTTTTCCACACAGCCTTGCCAGCTTTTGTTATTAGTTGATTTCTTGATGATAGTTATTCTTTCTGGAGTGAGATGGAATCTCGTGTTGTTTTAATTTGCATTTCTCAAATAACTAGGGATGTTGAACATGTTTTCATATATTTATTTGTTGTTTGTACTTCATCTAAGAAGAGTCTGTTCATTTCAGATCCCCATTTTTGGAGTGGGTCTTCAAATTGGGGGGGGTCTGATTTTTTTGAGCTCTTTATATATTCTTGATATTAGCCCTTTGAGGAATAGCTGGTAAAATTTTTTTCCCATTCTGTGGGTTATTTCTTCACTCTGTTGGTGGTTTCCTTTGCTTTTCAAAAGCTTTTTAATATGATGTGATCCCAGTTGTTGATCTTTGTAACATTTCCTCTGTGATCTGGATTTTGTTCATATCTGGGTTTTGTTTATAAAGTCTTTGCCTACACCTGTGTCTTCAAGGGTTTTACCTATTCTATCTTGCAGCAGATTAAGTTTTTCTTTTAATATTTAGATCTTTGATCCATTTCATTTTTGTTTAGTGCATGGTAAGAGATATGGGTCTAGGTTTAATCTTTGACATGTGGAAAGCCAGTTTTTCCAGCACCATTTATTAAAGAGGCCATAAACACTAATACAATTGTAATGGGGGACCTCAACACTCCACTGTCACAATAGACAGATCAGCTAGGCAAAAAAATCAACAAAGAAATATCAGAGCTGAACCAAACTTTTGAACAAATGGACTTATATATCTACAGATTGTTCCACCCAGCAATGGAATATACATTCTCAGCAGCACATGGGACTCTCTCCCAAACAGACCACACACTAGCTCATAGAACATGCTTAAGTAAATACAAAGGAATTGAAATTACCCCATGCATAGTATCAGATCATAGTGCAATGAAATTGGAAATCAGTGGCAAAAGAAACCATAAAAACTATATAAATGCATGGAAATTAGACAGTATGCTCTTGAACATCCAAATTTTAAAAAATGAAAAGGCCTGAGGATGTAGCTCAGTGTCAAGGTCCAGGGTTTAATCTCCCAGTTTCACACACAAAATAAAACAGATTATCAAAGTTATGTAAATTGTATTTATTTGTCTTAGAGAACAAAACCAGAGATTGAAAAAGTTGCTACAAGTGTCAGTAAACTAAAGAAAAAGAAGACCAAAAAAACATAGACTAGGTTAAAAAAAAATGTACATATAAAACAATAGAAGAACAATTATAAAGCATCACCAAAAAAATGGAAATTCAGATTAAATTTATGTATGATCTTACACCAGCTTTGCAGAAATAGTTATGAAATAGTAAATTCATTTATTGCCTAATGTGGAGTATGGAATTGTTATAACAAGGACTGACATCCAAGTGACTGAAAGGTCTCCACTCAGTTTATATTGCCTCTTTAACTTTGGCCTTGTTGGTTTTACTGTCTTGAAAGTTGCAATTCTGCATTTGTAATTTGGTTAAGTCTCCTTGGATAAGTCTCAGAAAACAGGAAGTCTGTAACAGTAAAACAGAAGCGCTTTGATGCTCCTTAAAAATAACAGTTCTTCCTAAGTAACTCTTTAACTTGTGTATAATGTTATTAAGTTTAAACTGGTATTACATGAAACAGTTGTTTTCAGTCTTCTATAATACTTTCACATCACATTAATAGTAAACTAGAGGATTTGAAAAATTACTTATTTTACAATGACACTTCTCTTTGGAAGAATACCATCATTAGAAAAAAGTAATGGTAAATTCAATTCTAAAACTCTTTCCTCTATTATGGTATTACTTGATATTCATGTTCACTGTACACAAACCTGGTCAAAGTACCAGTCTGCTATATTATGCCTGTTTATCCAGGTAAACATTGTCTCAGGAACAGTATACAACTTCTTTTCTATTCAGTCCATGGCCAGTCATCTATCCATTTAACCATTTCGTTTATTTATTAATTTATTTTTCTTTTAACAACCTCTGTCAAACACCTTCTAGCACAAGGAAATCCCTGTCCTCAGATATGCAGACTACTGAAAAAGAAGCCCTCACCTGTCTTAGTTACCTGCTGCTATACATGCTCTGTCTCCCAGTTCTAGATATTACCTGTGGACTACTTTTTCCAGTGCCAATTAAAAGCTCCTGAATAATTCTGATCATGCAGTCTCTCCTAACTAAATGCTTATGCCACATGAAAGATTGATTCTATGTGGTTTTTGCTGACTCTTCCCACATCCTTCGAGGCAGGCAGTGGAACCACTGAGCTAAATTCCCAGCCCTCAACAGAATTTCTTTACTCAACCCTCTCATCAAACAGGCTCACAGGAAGTGATTCATTTTTATTAACAGGCAATTTTCTGGCATGAATGTCTTGGAATTTTGTCTGCATTTTCACCCTTTCTCTTGTTCATCCTTTTTTTTTTTTTAAAGAAAAGGTCTCTCCCTTGCCGAACTAATCATCCCACGTGAGTTCTTTCTCCCATGTCCCATTTCCTTCAGCACATCAGTTTCCATTTGCAACTCCAGACTTCACTCAACAAACATATTATCCACTGCTTGGAGCCATGTATAAACATTCCACTATACCAGAAAGACTGATAAGTCTGTATTTTTACCTTTCCTTTTCAAAACTTCTTGAAAGAATAACATATAACCATTTTCTCAATTTCTTACCAACTAGTCCTTTACCCTTCTCTGATTTGGTCTCTGATCTGTTGGTGCAATGAAAAACAGTTCTCTTGAAGATCATCTCTGTGTGGGCTTTATATAACACTTATATAACTTATTCACTCAGAAAATATTTTGTGCTTATTATGCACTAGGAACTGCTAAATACTAGAGGTTCATCTGAAAAAGACAAGATCCTTATTGCCGGAGAGCTTGTAATTTAGGTAAGGGAAACAAGAAGTAGAGAACTAGTAGATAGTGGAAGAGTTGCAATATGAAAGTAATACAAGCAATATGAAAGTAAAACAAACAGTATATCACTCAGCCTTTGATTGATCATAAAGACTTACAGGGTAAGAGGTGAGGCTTCTCAGAGAAAAAGGGAAGATACTCATTTACAGAAGAAGGGAAATCATATTTCTAGTAGAGCAAGTATCTCCCAAGAAGTGATCTAGAAGTTTATATTCTTTGGTTATCTGCAAACTAAGTAATTTTTTGTGCAGAATTTGTTTGGGGAAGAGAATGGTGATGAGGCTTTTACCTGAATCTAGTTTTTAAATTCGTATTTAATTTTTGTGTATATATAAGTCTGAGGGGAGTGGAGAGATCTAGACTTTTTGCCAGTTGCTCACAAAGGAGTGTATGACTTCAAAATATGTAGATGTAGGTGGGGTCTAGGTTATAAAAGGCTGAGGAGTTTCTGAGCTACCTCGAAGGAGGAGTTCAAGAAATAAAGTATCCTGCTCAGGCTTTGATTCTGGAAAGGCCACTCTCTGAATTTACCAAAAGAGAGGATCATGTCTGCAGAGGGAATTGAGGCATGCAGTGGTCCCGACAGGAGACAAAACACTTGATTTTTTGTTTGTTTGTTTGGTTTTGGTACCGGGGATCAAACTCGGAACCTTGCGCTTGTGAGGCAGGTGCCAGAACCACTGAGCTAAATCCCTGGCCCCAATATTTTGTCACAGGGACAGTGGAGACAAAGAAGAGGGAGCGGGTCGGAAGTATTGAGAAGGCAGTGTTTAGATATTAGTAACTGTTGGCCAGGCCCTGCCCACTTGTAGTCACATACTGCAGGAGCTTGTGCAGTCCCCCAACCCTGCACTTAGTGTCTCATCCTAATGGGCTGGAGTATCCTGTCTCAAACAAGAGATTGTACATTTGTCTTATCATCTGTATTTTAAATGCTCTGTGTCTGTCTTTGTGTTTTCAGTCACAACGTGTAACAGAATTTCACATAACATTCTAAAAACTGCCTATTAATGATGATGCTGTTATAGCACTGTTCTAAGAGCTTTGCGTATGTTCATTCATTTAATTCTGACAACAAACCTATGAGGTGTGCACTGTTATTATATCATATCCCATTTTTGGTTTAGAAAGAAATGAGTCACTGGAAGGTTGGAATTTTTTCCCTGAGATTCAAACCTAGTCACCCTGACTCCAGAGTATATGCCCTTAATCAGTATGCCAGACCATCTCAGAATTAGAATCTATTAAATACAATGATTGGTAAATTTATTTATTTATTTTTATTTTTTTTTTTGTTGTTGTTGTTTTTCAGTGCCTGGGATTGAACTCAGAAACTTGCAAGGTGGCATGGGTGCCATTGAGCTAAATCCCTGGCCCTTGGTGATTAGTAAATTTAAAGCAATAAAATATTCTAGCTCCATAAGATTAAACGTAATTTATTTGTATAGAACAGCTCATAAGTTTGTTTTCTAATGTTTTTGTTTTAATCTCCCTAGAACCAGTACGAAGATACAAAACTTACCACAGTGATATCTTTAGTACATCCAGTGAAAGTCCATCTATTATGTCCTTGGAATCAGATTTCAGACAAGGTAAGAGGCATCTGAAACAAGCAAAAACAAAAAGTTAAAGAAACTATGATTATATTCTTCAGAAATATTGAAATTTAAGTGAAGATTTAAGAGTTGTAAAATGTTGTCATGTACTTATTTTGATAGTATTACAGGAATTTAATAGCAGTTTCAAACAATGATGTCATTTTCATCATAAAGACAGGAGATCATGGTTTTTAAAAATAGCATAACTTACTTCAGGATTTAATAACATCATTAGTTTGGTTATATTAATATGATTTGTACAGTTATACAAATGCTTGAGTTTTAGATAAGATTGTTTTCATAGTTTTATCACCTGTGCCATTATTAGTGAGAAGGAGTGATGCTTCAAAGAGGTTCGAATCCGGCAGCGGTCTCCCAGGACTGGATGAAACTTCAGGTCAAGGCCAGCCACAGAGACCAAGGTATGTTGGGCGAAATGGCAGAGCAATAGACTGCTAGTGACAGGTGGTTTTTAAATTTTGTTTTGCATTTTTCTTAAAATCAGGTTGGACTTCTTTTTCTTTTTTGCTGTTGGGGATCAAACTTGGGACCTTGCTTGCGCTTGCGAGGCAGGTGGTGGAACTAAATCCCTGGCCCAGTAATACTTTTTTTAAGGTTAGAATAGGCTCTACCAGCAGGCTTTCAGTGAGAATTTATTTATTGAGAGAATAATGAGTAGTAGCAGTAATAATGAGTACATAGTAGTTACTACTATGTGACTTGTTACACAAAAAGTAAATTATTTGCTATCTGGCTCAAAAGAGTTATCCAGTATTGTTTAAAAGCCTGATTTGGGATGTTTTGAGTTCATTTTCTTAATGAAATACTTGGCAAACTTCTTGTGTTAGTATTGTTTATGTTAGGCTTAAGATGGTGGTGTTAACAGCTGTGTATTTTCTTTATTGAAACTGAAAGATGTCAGGTCAATAATGAGTATGTTGATAACATATCATTGTCATGTTTATAGGTCCCTTATGGGAACAAAAGAGGCTGTTAATGATAAGTATTAATTTCAAATTGTAATATGACATTAGAAGTCTGAAGAGTGCTTTAGAATTTATTCCCAAAGTGTGAAAATCTTTTTGAACTTGATCTTTCAGTTTGTTTAATTCAAGGGCTACTAGATACAAGAGAATCATTTAAAAATTAACAAAAATTTGTCCCTTAGCTAATTAATTTGCCAGATACTGTTTCACACCTGTAAACTATTAATAGACCAGGTAACTCTAACGGCTAAAACGTCTTATCCATGGCTTAGAGTTCAAGTAATTAAATCATTTTTTCTTAATTATGTTCCTTAATGTTTCAGTTTTTATTGACTTTATTTTGTTTTTTATGCCTTTTATCAATAGCATATAATATTTTATTTTCTTTGGGGAAAGCTCCAGTAAGTATTCATTTACCTAAAGCTATGTTTGCATAAAAGTCTTTTATATTATTGTTTCCTTGTAATGACCCCATCTTGATAATTTGTACAAAGATGCAAAAAGCAATGATAAATGTATATTTGATTATATAGGTTTTACTAATGAAGCAGAAGCATTTGAGGGTGAAGAGCAGTAAGAAGCCAATATTGAGTTGCACCCAGCTCAGGGCTGCTTGGAGAGGAAACTTCTTTAGAATTCACTCCTCTCTATATCTGACTTGCAGAAGGCCTTAAACAGTTAATATGATGCCCTTTTAGCTTGACTGAAAAAAGTAGAGGCATCAACTGGAAGAATTAAGATTGTGTATTAACAATTTGTTTGTAGTTTGTTATTTCAGGACATATTCTTTCTAAACAAAAATCATCTTGTGAGGTTTATCTCAGTTTTCTTAATAAATAATCTCAAAAGTGTCAAGATTATGGGATAACTTTAATTTTGACTGTTTTCAGATTCTATTCAAGGAAACATTAACATTGAGGCCATCTTAGCTTGTTAGAGCTGTGTTTTAAAGATAAATTATTATTGTTTCTTAATTTATGGAAAGAAAAACCCATGTGGTATACATAGCATCTGAGTTAGATACAGGTATAGGTGGAAAAAAATATTTCCAGGACAGGTGGATTGTTTGATGTATGTCTTGTGTCACAAACATTGCTAAACTCTCTTTTAACCAGTCCCATCCTTTTGCTGCCCCGAGAAGGACACATAACCTCCAATACCATAAAATCCTTATGCAAGTGCAAAGTTTTGTGAATGTGTACAGAGGTTTCTGATAGTGTCCTCAACATGTAGTGCACAGTAAGAACCTTCTGCTTCATTCTTCAGGGCACATATTGTGAGAGCTGTAAACAATGCTGTATTTATATGTGTTGCAAGCTTCCTTATTAAGAAAAATTCCATTCCCTTTAGCTGGAATGAGATGACGAAACAGATCCAAGCAGAGCTATTGATTCTATCACACGGATGAGGGGGAGGGACAGGAAATGATGAGTCAGATGTAGCAAAATAAGTAATTTTGGATTCTCAGTGATCAAAAGTGTCTTTCAGTGACCAAAAAGGATACCCAAAGCTGTTTCCAGAGAGCGTGCCTCAACCTTTTCATGTGTCAGCTTTTGAAGTACAGCTTAAACATGGTACAGCTTCCAGTGCTTCTGTGGCTCTGCTTGTTGAGATGACCTTCTTTCTGACTCCAAACAACCTATTTTTTGATCCTTCAGTGATACAGATTTTCTGAATCTTCGGCTTGTTTTTGTTGTTTCCCCTCTCAGAATTTTAGTCTTTGTAGAAACTTCTACCAGTTACTGTTTTGAAAGAAATAAAATGATAATCACTTTTGTTACCTGTGAGTAGCTCTGATATAAAATAATTTGAACAAGGAGGCTAATATAATTGATGAAAATTCTTCATTTAGCTGGACATGGTGTTAATAATTCCAGCATGGAGGGAAGCTGAGGCAGGAGGATCCCAAGTGATGGTGAGCCAGAAGATTATATTCAGTCACTCACTCAACACGTAATTACTGAGCACTATCACTTAGTAGATACTTTTAGGTATTGGAAATAGAGTTAACAACACAGAAAAACTCTCAGGAGACTTGCTAGAGATGAGAGAGCCAGTAAACAATTAAAAAACAAGTAATGAATGCACTGTTATGTAGCATAGTGCTTTGAAGAAAAGTGAAGTAGGTTAATGGGACAGAGAGTGTACAGATATGTGTGATTCTATTTTGCATAGCTACTATGATCAGGTTTGATAATTTGCTAGGTTGGCATAGAGGCTTTGATGGAGATTTCATAGGCATGCCACGTCCCTCAGGTATTGCAAGGGATTTAGGAGCAGTTTGTATGCAATACACACACACACACGTACACTCACAAGCACACATCTTATTATGCAAAGATTCTTCTAAAATGAAAACAGAATTTGCTTAAATTCTTGATGCCTTTACTCAACACAGAGTTTTCTTCAGTAGCCTTAAAATAGTTGTGCTGTCCCCAGCCTTGACTTTTCCTCTTTTTAAGTAGCAGACGATATGAAACACCCCTGGAAGGCAACACAGTCAACCAGGAGATCATGCTGAAACGGCAGGAAGAAGAGATGATGCAGCTGCAAGCCAGGATGGCTCTTCGACAGTCTCGGCTCAGCCTGTGTCCTGGAGACACAGTCAAAGCTTCCATGCTGGACATCACCAGGGATTCGCTAAGAGAAATGGCCCTAGAGACAGCCATGACCCAGAGGAAACTGAGGGTAAGTGCATTCTCAGGTTGAGGCATCCAAACCTGCTTTCAGTTACCTGTTAGGCAAAGAACTTTTAAAAATTACTAGCAGTACCCAAAAGTTGCCTATAAGTGAAATTGAAATTCCATACTAGTTTTCATTTGGGATTAAATATCTTGTTAGTTGACATTAAGGTAGATAAATATTTAGCTGTTGTCGTTACCTTATTCTAAAATAAAATTAGATAGATTTAGAGTATCTTGACTCTCTGATTTTAAATTCTATGCCTAGCCAGGTATGGTGGCATGTGCCTATCACCCCAACTGCTAGCGAGGCTGAGGCAGAATTGATCACTTGAGCCCACAGGCCTGGGCAACACAGCAAAACCCGTAGCAAACGAAAATGTTTTTTAAGTTTTTGTGATCCTCAGAAGCCACTGGCTTTATTCAGTATTATGGGGGATCATTTTTTAATCCAATAAATTGAGAGATCAGAGATACAGAGAGTTGAGGGTTGGTTCAGAAGCTCAAGATAATTATCCAGTGCATCTTTTTTTCTGCTCTACCATTCTCAGAATTTTGGCAGTACTTTGCTTTCTAGCCAGAAGATAACTGCATTAGCTCCAAGCATCACATCCAAAAACAGGAAAGAACAATCTGCAAAGAATACCTTTTGGAAAGACCTTTTTTTCAGCACTGGGGATTGAACCCAGTGCCTTACACATTTTAGGCAAGTGCTGTACTCCTGAGCCAGATCCTTAGCCTGTGAGGGGATATTTAAAAATCTGTATATTCTCTTTGGGATATTTTTCTGTAAACATACATATGAACATACATATAAACATACATATAAACTTATGAACTTTAATATAATTTTATAAACATGAGCTCAAAATGATCATGTCTTTTCTGATATAAAAGCATACTAATATGTATTAGTAAAGATGATATAACTGATGATTTTTTTTCTTTTTAGTTTTTTTTTGTTATTCTTGTTGATTGCTTCAAAGAATTACCTTAAAAGCATATTCAAGTTGGTAGGATTAAAATTTCCTTTATAGAATTCTAAGGACAAAAACAGTATTGGGTGGTGAAAATTGTGTTGAGCTACAAATTTAAAGACTTGAATTTTATTCCTTGTGATGCTGTTATATGACTTTATGTAAAATTTTAAATTGCTTTGTGCCTCATTGTCCTAATTTTTTACTTTTAGGGATTTGTTTTTATTTGTTCTTTTGCAGTGCTGAAGATTGAACCCAGGGCCTCATACATGCTAGGCAAGCACTGTACACCTAGCTACATCCCAGCCCCAGTAGTAACTTTGTAAATGTGGAATTGGATTATAATTCATAAGACACTGATCAATTTTAAAGTTTTTAGATTCTAATAAAATATAAATGCATTTTAAGCTAAAAGGAAAGAATTCAGTAAGGCTTTACCAATTTATCATTATAACCAATACCTGTATCAAAATTGGGGAATAAACTAAGCAGGATACCACAGAAAATATTGTGAGCTTCCAAAATATTATGGGCATCTCCAATATGATAATTCAGTAAAGAACATGAAGAGCATATACATAAACAGACCTGTTTCCTAAACCATGGTTTCAGAGAGCTGGTCTAGAGCTTTGGTCTATTAGCAAGTCAAATTATAGATTGTGCCATTACCGTATCACTTTATAGCACTATCATCTATTATCTCAGTCAATTTCTGGCTATTTTGAGGCACATACATCTTTACCAAAGACATGCTATGTCAGTGATTAAATCATGTGAACTACTAGTCATTTAAGTACTACACAAAGTAGCTGGGGATTTAGCTCAGTGATTTCACCGCCTGCTGCGCAAGCACAAGGACCCGAGTTCGATCCCTGGTACCAAAAAAAAAAAAAAAAGAGCAGAATGATATATATTTGAGGCTGAAAGGGTATACTAATATGTGGAAAAACAATTTCACAATTGGATTAATATTCTTTTTCAAAATATACATTAAATTGTTTTCCTGTTCTCCTTTCCTTGCAGACACATTTAACTTGTTAATACTCTACTGCCTTTGTTGATCTTTATTAGATTCACAGACCATTTTTATTTACTCTATTTCTGTCCTTGTTTAAAATGTGTCCTGTCAGTTCATTGACTATTAACAAACCGTTGATGTTAACTTTTTACTTAAATGTTCCACACTCAGTTAATTGAATAGAATTCCCACACCAAGCAACCAAATGAGCTGTACAACCAAATGCAAAGAAGAAGCCAACAAAAACAAAACTCCAGTGACCTCCATTAGTTCAAACACACATGCAGGACCACACACACTACACCACCTGACTCAGCCTGAATATTTGCCTTGCCTCCCTCCTGCCTTTCTTTCTAACTGTTCTCATTCCTGCTACCCCAGAGTGTAACTTGTTTTAAGTTATCTCTTAAACCAGTTCTCCCCTCTTAACTAAAGTCCCTGAGTGTACAAGAGGATAGGGGAGAGGACTGAAGAGCAATAAATTCAGAGTACAGATTCTGCTCTCCCCATCCTTTGAGTGTTCCCAATTCCTGAGGTATTTTATTGATGAGAGATAGAGACAATGTGATGTCTATATTGTCCCTAATTCTCACTGTGTAAAACAATGTAAAACAAAAGTGTGAAAAGCATTCCAGAGTCATGGGTACAGATGGATATGTGTATTTTGTACTCACCAAGTAGGTTCCTTTTACTGTAATTCATTTTAGATTGAATATCACTCTAAAACAATGCAGTTCTCTTCACTCACTTCACACATTACCAATATAAAACCAAAACTGTATATGAATGAACTTAATAACTAATTTTTTTATTACTTTATGTGTTGCTTTGTGTGTGTGTGTGTGATGCTGGAGATTGACGCGAGGGCCTCATGATGTTAGGGACGCACTCTACCACTGACCTACACCTTGAGCCCAAGATTACTTATTTTTTTAAGCTACCTGAGGGCCAAATATTGAAAACCAGTAAAATAATAAAACAGTATAAAGCTGGGCATTATATTTGACCTCACTGGTAGAAAACAAATATTTAGGAAGAGCTTCTGTGTGTAGGGTATGTTCCATTCTTGGTTTTGGCACATTTCCCTAAACTGCTCTGTTGAAAATTTCTGCATTTGTTTTAGATCACCTAGTTCTAATGTGGTAGCTTTAAATGTTATGCATTATTATAGCATTATTTTTCTTGCAAGGAAAGAGAAGAAATGGTAAAAATATTAATTCTTCTTATGTAATTTGCAGAATTTCTTTGGCCCTGAGTTTGTGAAAATGACAGTTGAACCATTTGTATCTTTGGATTTGCCACGGTCTATCCTTGTAAGTAATAAAACCAATTTGTATACCTGGTGCAAAAGTATTATCCCAGTACTTTTGTTTTAAAAAACCCATTTAAATACTTATAAAGCTTTATTTAATAAATGTCATTTCTTTTTTTCAATTGTAGACCAAGAAAGGGAAGAATGAGGATAATCGGAGAAAAGTAAACATAATACTTTTGAGCGGACAGAGATTGGAACTGACCTGTAATACCAAAACCATATGTAAAGATGTGTTTGATATGGTTGTGGCCCACATTGGCTTAGTGGAGCATCATTTGTTTGCTTTAGCAACTCTCAAAGGTACCATGCATTTTAAAATCAGAGAACAGAATGGAAACTTAGCAGCAAACTGACTTCCTTTAATTATTATCTTGCTCAACTTCATTTTGGGAAACATTAACTTAATGAACAAGTCAGTGTTGAAAAGTGGAAGTCAGTTAGGAACTTCTCCCACCTTCATTTTTTAATAGCCATGTTTGTTAGGTACCTTCTGTATCTACTATGAAGATTTTTCTTTGGCTAACACTGTAAGAATAGATTGGGTTTTGCTGCTTTATCTTGGGGTATTTGTTTTCCTAGGCCAGTCTCAAATTCTTAGGCTCATATGATCCTCCTGCCTCAGCCTCCTGAGTAACTGAGACTGTACCATTGGACCCAGCTAAAAATACAATAGATTTTAATTGTCACATTCTAGGGACCATTATCAATATGTTAACTGCAAATATATAAGCATATGGTGTATATTTATATATCACAGGGCTCTATCTCTGAGTTTTCACAACTTATAGTCTACTGTCCTAAAACTATGTAGTCTTTCTTAAGTGTCGTTAGTTGATGACTGAAAATTAGTCATTTCTCTTATCTTCTAAACATTACATCCACTGAACTCCATGACATACACAACCATAGTGGTCTCAGAGCACAGCATTAATAAAAGCTCCTCTTTATCAATTATAGTTGTCATAGCAATAAGAAGCTCTTCGGAATTGATTTTTATTCTTTGATAAATCATTATGCTTATGAATTACTCTTTAGTATTTCAGATTTCTTATAGTTTAACTTAGACAACAAGGTACCATAAATGACAAAGAGTCAGTGATCTTGAAACTCTACAATATTTTAATGACTTTTTTAAAGGAAGTAAGTATTTCCAGGCTGGGGATTTAGCTCAGTGGTTCCAGTGCCTGCCGTGCAAGCGCAAGGTCCTGAGTTCGACCTCCGGTACCAAAAGAAAATAAGTATTTCCTTAAACATATTTTACTGGGCTGGGGATTTAGCTCAGTGGTTTCGCCGCCTGCCTTGCAAGTGCAAGGGCCCGAGTTCGATCCCCAGTACCAAAAAATAAAAACCAAGAAAAACCAATAACATATTTTGTTGAATATTATGCCTTAAAAATGAATAATTTGTTTTGTAGAGTCATTGAATAAATATGCAATTAATACTTAATGATATTCTATTATTTAACAATTCTCATTTTTAGACTAATCAGACATGAAGATAGTCAGAATTTCTATTTATAATATACCAAATTGCTTAAACATTTAGTACAAAATCAGATTTTATTGAATAATCCTTTTATGTATTTGTAGAGAATAAAAAATAGTTAAGTAGTAACATTTAAAAATAAAAAGTATTATCTTTAGTTAGGGCCAGGGATTTAGCTCAGTGGTTCCGCTGCCTGCCTTGCAAGCATAAGTACCCAAGTTCGATCCCCGGTACCAAAAAAAAAACAAAAAAACAGTATCTTTCATTTCTCCTAAGTTTCAGCTAGTGGTTCACTTTTTTTTTTTGTGCCAGGGATTGAACTCGGGACCTTGCACTTGCAAGGCAGGCGCCGGAACCACTGAGCTAAATCCCCGGGCCTAGCTAGTGGTTCAGTAATAACAAGTAATAGCTCACATTTATTTTAGTACCATGTACAACTTGATTTACCCAGTATTTTATATCCAGTATGTCATCTGATCCTTACAACAACCATAAAAAGCAGGAACTGGTGTTACCCTAATCTTATAGTCAGGAAAATTGATGTCCCGAGAGGTAGAATAGTTTATTCAGTGGTGTACAGGTAGTAAATGATGTGGCCAGGAATCGAGTCCAGACCTGTCTGTCTTTAGAGCCTGCACTTTAAAAGATGGAGCCATATTGTCTTCACCCATACCCAGTGATGTACAGCTCCTTGTCATACTTCATAGCAGTCATATTCTTGTGTGATAATGTTTTGTACAATGAAGAAATCAAAGGGACACTTTTATCTGATAGTTCTTCTCCCTCTGTTTTAGATAATGAGTATTTTTTTGTTGATCCTGATTTAAAATTAACCAAAGTGGCCCCAGAAGGATGGAAAGAAGAACCAAAGAAAAAGAGCAAAGCTGCTGTTAATTTTACCTTGTTTTTTCGAATTAAATTTTTCATGGAGGATATTAGTCTAATACAGTGAGTACACCAGAGTTTCTCATTTACTCTTTTTGGGCCCCTTCTCTTTTGACCCTAAGACTTACTGGTGGTGAATTACTCTTGACTTACGTGTAGTGAACTACTTGATAGTGATCAAGGATAATTTCAGCTTTATATTAAAAGAAGTACAGTAGGCCCTCCCGTATCTATGGCTTTGTTTCCATAGTTCAGTTACCTGTGGTCAGCCACTGTGTTAGTTACTTTTCTCTCATTGCGGAGTCAAAACACCCGACACCCAAAGTTAGGGGGAAGGGGTTTATTTGGCTTACAGTTCATAGAGGTTTCAGTCCATAATCGTCTGGCTCCAAGGCAGGGTGAATGACAAACACTCATAGCAAAGGAGAAACAGAATGGTGTGCACAAGGTAGCAAAGGCAACAAGAACCCTTCATTACCTCTTCTGCCTCTTTTATCCCATCTAGATTACTGGGATTAGGGTGGTGCTAAACCACTCACTCACATGTAGTGGTTTAATAATCACATGCCCTTAATCCCAGCATCACACATTCCAGATTCAGCTACCTCTGACTGAATGAGGCTTTGGGGGGACATCCAGACCCAAACCATAACAGCTATGGTCAGAAAATGTTACATAGAAAATTGCAGAAGTAAACAATTCATGCATTTTAAATTGCACTGGGTTCTTCTGCATACCATGTTGTACCATTCTACTCCTCCCTGCCAGTGTATCTGTGCTGAATACACAGTCTGCCTGTTAGTCACTCAGCAGCTGTCTTGCTTACCACATCAGCTAGCATGGGATTGCAGCATATGCCACACATATGCCACAGAGAGTCTGTAAAGTGCTTCGTTTAAGTGAAAAGGTAAAAACTCTTGACTTAATAAGAAAAGAAAAGAAAATAGACTAAGGTCACTAAGATCTGTGTTGTTACTGTTATAAATATCTTATTGTGGCTACTTTATAAATTGAACTTTATCAAAGGCATGAATGTGTAGATAAAGATACAGTGTGTATAGGGTCTGGTGCTACCTGAGTTTCAGGCATCTGCTGGGAGTCCTGAAACACATCCCTCTTAGATAAAGGAGAAGATCAGTATTTCCTTCACATAGCTTATTGAATTCTTGCACCTTTTAAAAACTCAACAGCAAACTTAGTAATAAACTACATTGGAAACTAAATTTGTGTGCCTATAATTAAATTCACCTCAAGATTCAAGACTAAAGGCCAGGGTGCTGGTGTGCTTGTTTGTTTTTTCAGACATACTCTGACCTGTCATCAGTATTACCTTCAGCTGCGGAAAGATATTTTGGAGGAGAGGATACACTGTGATGATGAAACTTCCTTATTGCTGGCATCCTTGGCACTCCAGGCTGAGTATGGAGATTATCAGCTAGAGGTTGGATTTATTTTTTTCCCTCAAGACTGCTTTTATATTAGCATTACCCTTAGCATAATTGAGAACTAAATCTGGTTAAAAGATTTCATGCTCAGGTCTGAAGTTTTTGAGGCTAGTTTGGTGCCTCAGAATGACTAAACTCCAGAAGTACATTTGCTATGCACAGTCATACAGAGTGGGACTTATTTTTCCATTTAAAATTATCCTATTTTAGAGTTTGGGACTATCTATCACTTACCTTCTCCTCTCCCAGTCTCTAAGTAATAGAGTCTGTGTAGGGGTCAAAGGGTTCCTCAGCATTGCACTCATATCTATGAAGTGAGAGGCTGAGAACAGAGCAGAGCTCAGCGTGTGGAAAACTCACTGTATCCTCACAGCCTCCTGATCCTGTGTATCCGTGAGCTAAGAGGAACAAGGTACAAAAGACTATACCACCTGAGCAGCAGCCCTCACACATCAATTCTTTTTTTTTTTTTTTTTTTGGTACTGGGGATAGAACTGAGGACCTTGCTCTTACAAGGCAGGCTCTGTGCCGCCGAACTAAATCCCTGGCCCCCTCACACATCAATTCTTAGCAGAGGTAGCATGAGGCCCTCAGATGTCACGTTCCTGCAGCTTGCCATCAGTTCAGTCCTTCTGCCTCCCTGAATAGAAGAGAGACTGATGCCTTTCCCTTAAAGCTCATTCCTCAGAGAGAGAGAAGCAGAAACAGTATTCATCTCTTGACTAAGGCAAAAGAGTTGTCTCTAATAAAAGACAAATAGGACCGCTTATGAAACATTCTCCCTTCTAGGTTCATGGTGTATCTTACTTTAGAATGGAACATTATTTGCCTGCTAGAGTGATGGAGAAACTTGATTTATCCTATATTAAAGAAGAGTTACCAAAATTGCATAATACCTATGTGGGAGCTTCTGAAAAAGAGACAGAGGTAGAATTTTTAAAGGTAAGCATATAAGACTACAAAAGATAAACATCCTCCTACAAAATAAGGAGATGTTGGAGGACACACATCTAAAAGCTCAGAGGCCAGTAATTGATACTGTGGATTATTTTATTTCATTTATTCCTGACTAAATCTGTGGTGTTCTGGCTTGTTCGTTGTTTATGGTTTGTTTGTTTGTTATGGTGCTGGGGTTTGAACCATGGCCTTGCACATGCTAGGCAAGTGCTCTTCTACACAGCTATATCCCCAACCCTTTTTATTTATTTTGAGACAGAGTCTCACTAAGCTGCTAAGTTGCCTAAGTTAAGCTGAGACATGAAATTCTCTTGTCTCAGCCTCCCAAGTATCTGAGATTATAGGTGTACACTACTGTGCCTAGTTTAAATATATGTACATAGATCTACTTCTCAGGGTGTATTTGCCTTTACATTTTAAGATTGACTCTTGATGAGCAAGTTTTTAATGTTACTAAAGTGATTTGTTGTTAGATTTGTTTTCCAATGCTAAGTATCAAGCATAGTAAAATTTTTATAAGTGAAATAAATGTTGAGGTTTATTTTTTGGCAGTGGATATACATTGTTCTGGCAACATTGTTGGAAAGACTGTCCTTTTCACATTAAACTACATTGGTGCAAGCATAACTTCTATAGCTTCATGTCACCATTTATCAAAGTACACTGCCATGGTATGATATTGTTCCAACAGGTCTGCCAAAGACTGACAGAATATGGAGTTCATTTTCACCGGGTACACCCTGAGAAGAAGTCACAAACAGGAATACTGCTTGGAGTCTGTTCTAAAGGTGTTCTGGTGTTTGAAGTTCACAATGGAGTTCGCACATTGGTTCTTCGCTTTCCATGGAGGGAAACCAAGAAGATTTCTTTTTCTGTATGTCCATTTTTAATCCCCTCTTCATTGTATTTTAAATGACTATTTTCAATTCCTATGTAACATACTAATTGACTTTCTTCAACTAAACTTAGGCCCTACCTTTCAGTAATGTTATTATGTCTTAATACTATTTAACTCTTCTTTCTTAGCTATAGGAAGTATTATTGAGATTTGTTTCTAGTTTTCTCAGATAATTTTTCACAGCATACGATACATTCTGAGCTGGTTATATGCTTGGTTAACCTAAGTTAAACTACAACTAAATTGGATTCTCTGTTAAGTCAGAACTTACTCCAGGGTTGTATACAACTTTTCACATGGAGAAACTCCTCCAATATTTTTAAGGTAGATGACTATCTTGATAAAATTTGTCTAGCTCAAGAATGGGTCCCTTATAGCAACTATTATGGGAATCTCAAATTCAAAGCTATAATGCATTTTATAAACTAGTCCCATGACTTTCTACAGTTTAAGGTTTTAGTGCATATTCTCTAGGGAGATAAAGTTAGAAAAGTTATATTCAGAAAATACCATGTTTATGGAAGATGCTAAGCTCTAAAGGCCTATTTTGATTTTGGACATAGAGTATCTGGACATTGAAGTGCCATTGGCAAACCCCAGAGGTGAATAGAAAATATGTTCGGATATTTATTTCCTTGTGGTATTCGTGGATTCCTGATATCTTTACTTCATATTTGGGTTGAAATATGTTTTCAACAGGATAATATTTGTAAGGATATCAAGGTCATGATAGACTTTGGATTATGTTCAGCCTAAAGGGACTGGGGATTTAGCTCAGTGGTTTCGTCGCCTGCTGCGCAAGCGCAAGGACCCAAGTTCAATCCCCGGTACCAAAAAAAAAAAAAAAGTTCCAAACAAAAAAGTTCAGCCTAAAGAACTTTGAAATCAGTTGTAGACCTAATGGTGGGTTGGTTTCCTGTGAAACCCAGAAGTACCACCAGGATTATCAGATAGTAATTTGTTCTATTCAGGAAACCACAGACCACCCTCACCTTCTCCAGATTGTCAGCACCAGAATATTACCTGGGTTTAATTTTCCTCCAGTGGATATTCTAATGTAACAGGTGTCTGAAGAAAACTTTAGATTAATTTAATATAATCCATTTTGGACCAGTTTTGAAAGAGCAACAAGTAATCATTATAGTATTTAGCTCTGTTATTCACCAAGCTATCACACCATCCACCTTATAAAGAGTACTGTGTGTAACCATGATAAACTCATTTGTAAAGATCTGCAGTAATAAAGAGTAGACCACATTCCCACATAAGCTATTCCGGTATTTAACAGCACGATTTGTCCTGAAATTCTTTCTGTAATGCAGAGCTCTCTTTTCTACTAACTTTGGGGGTGATGGCGGGAGGGGAGGGGGTGAAAAAAATCACCCTTCAGCCTTCAGGTCTCTCACAACTGAGTTCTCACAGTCACACTTCTTGTCTGCTCATCAGTTAACTCTTATAGTCAAATATTATTCTAGTTTGTTTCAAACCAGTATTTCTTTCTTAGATGTTAAATCATCTACAACAACATAGGGAGGGAAGGGGGCTTGAGGTGGGGAATGGTATCATCTACAACATCACTTTTCATAATTATTCTGTACCTCTAACTTATCTTTGGTGGGGGTTCTTCTGCCCACACTCCTTTGTTGCCTTTGGGTATCTTATACAGATTCCAATTTTGTTGCTCTTTTGTCTCTCATATGATTGACTTAGTCAGTGAGAGTGCTTTACCACCTTAGAGTTCAGTGTCCTTGCAAATTACTTGATAGTAGTTAAGTGATAAGTTTGAAAGGCAAAATGTTCTCTATCTAATGGAAGAGTTACTAATTATACTACTTGAAGAGTTACCAATTGTACTACTCACTATCAAGATAATACTCACCCTGACAAGGGTTAGGCGGTTTCTGAGGGCATTCCTGTGTCTTTGCTTGTTTGCACTTAAAGCCCTCTGACTTGCTTCCATCACTCTCTGGATTACCTCAGTTTCCTTTAGTACTGCAGGCTTTGTCAAGAACCTTATCAAATATGGGAAGCATAGTTTGGTGCTACTGTCTTTAAGGCTTCTCTAACAGTTGCTGATTTCCACTTTTAATAGAGAACAGGCTTAGTCTCAGATTTCACTGGCAACCATATCTAGCTAGAATTTAACAAGGTTGTTTTGGTTTTATTACATTCATTATCATGTATTTCTAGAGATAGATTCTATTTGTGGCAAGTGATAACTAGTTTTCTGTTTATCATTGGGACATAAAGTTTCTTTAACATAAATTTTTGTAAATAAAAAAATCAATTTAAAAATTTATAAATAAGCAAGGCCAGAGATTATGAAGATGCACCTGAGTAATTATAGTCTGGGCAATTCTATTGTTGTATCTTTTGTGATCCTACTAAATTTGACTTTTCTGCATCTATTTTTGCATTTGAAATAAAAATAAAGGACATGAAGTAAAAAGAATAATTTGCACAGTAGGCAAGCGACAGCCTGTACTCTAACTGGATTGAAGTAATTCTCCAGGAATATTACCTTAGATGTCTAGAACATTACATGCTTATCTCTAAAGGTATATATAGATCCACCTACAAGCTTCAGCACATAGCTTGCAAATTTGAGGAAGACTCATACAAGAAACATTCACTTTTTGGGAATCATCAGGGAAATAAAGCTAGCTTGTTATTTTCCTACTTTCCCTGAGTTGGTAAGAATTTCCATCTCTGAATGTCAAAGCATTTTATCTCTCAACCCAGCAGTTATCCAGTACCATTTCATTACCACATTTTTTAAAATTCCCACATCTATCCTAGTCTTCATACCGTCCAGATTCTGTTTAACTGAATCACAGCTATTATCATTGTATATAAATTAAGAAAAACAATAATTGTTGAACTTCAGTTTCTCTACTCAGACAAATAGAATACATATTTCTGGTCATTATTTTAAACAGGCTTGATAATTTGAAAACACTGCCATCAACTTAAAATACCAGTCATCTCATTAAAAGAAACTCCTCTCTAGCTCATGCTGACCTGCAATCTGATTTAGGCTACAACTTCTGAAAGTGGCAAATAATTTAATTTGTTTCCTGCATTTGTTTATAATACAGGATTATATTTTTATATTTATATTAGGTATCAGGCAAGGAATACCTCTGCCTAATAATAGGAAATATAAATTATATTTTACTTACTAGAGTATTTGTTTATATAAAAGTCATAGGAAAGCATCCTAATTATGAATACCCCTGGTTAATATTGTAGAAAAAGAAAATTACACTGCAGAATACATCAGATGAAATAAAACATGCCTTCCAGACAGACAACAGCAAAGTCTGCCAGTACCTGCTGCACCTCTGCTCTTCCCAGCATAAGTTCCAGCTGCAGATGAGAGCAAGACAGAGCAACCAAGATGCCCAAGACATTGGTAAGGAGAAACAAACTGCTCCAGGTGACTCATGCATGATTTTTGCTGCAAATTTTGAAAAACTACCATGCTTAGAATGAAAACTTTATATATATATATTGACTACATCAAGTTTGCAAAGGTGTCACAAGTGAAGCAAGGGGCTGGGGATGTAGCTCAGTGGCACTGCGCCTGCCTGGTGAGTGCAAGGTCCTGAGTTCAATCCCCAGTACTAAAAGAAAAAACAAGTGAAGCCAATATTTCAACTTTATGTTCATTTTGAAGACACCACCCCAGCTTAAGTCAGGGAGAATCTGTTGAGAGGACTACTTTGTAATTATCTATAACGTATTTGATATAAATATTATGAAAACATTTGGGCCACATTCTCTACCTATAATAAACTTACACACTATTTGGAAAAGTTAAGACCAATATACATGAAACAGTAGGACACAAAAAGTTTCAATAAGTTCCGTGAGTTTAACTGATTGTATCATATAGACTCTATGGTCTGCATTGTAAGAGAAGAGGAAGATCAGGCTGGAGGACTGGAGAGGTGACACTTAAATTAGACTTAAAAGGCAGAATTACTTCAGTAGTGGCGATAAATGAAATGGATAAGGGAAATAACATGGGAAGCAAGGCAGGAGAAGATGGAGTAAGTACTCAGGACAGGAAGAGAATCTTCCCAGGATAGTAAAGAGATAGACATGCATTTTTGTGAGTGGCCAGTTTACCATCTCTTAGTTTTAGCTGAGTGCATCCCTGCTCAGAAATTGAAATAAATAACCACAGTACTCAATATAAATGGTGAGGACAGTGGTTTCACTTTTTCTGGAAAAAAAAATGGAAAAACTAATTTAGCTCTAATAATAACTCAATCAGAGCTGAGTTAAAGTTTATCCTGCAAGACGACATGCAGAGATTAAAGTGATACAAAATCAGTTCCACATAGCAAATTCTTTTACACCTAAGTGAATACTCTGAAGTGTATGATTTTAAAATTTAATGGAATAGCAGTAATGACCTTGTGCTATGAATTCTTTTCTCAAACTTTCTTACATGCTGAAATCTTACAGAAAATATTTTTCCCATAGGATCAGACTGGGATGATGGCAAACTATGAATAGATGCCTCTCAATCTTTCAGAATCAAGATGAAGTGAGACCATATGCTTATTTAAAATGAAGATTCTAGGAATCTACCTGAAACTTGGAAAAATACATTCTTTGGGAATTAGGTCCCTAGAATCTGCATTTTAATCAACTTTCTTCAGTAACAATTTTTATGCATGCTAAAATATGATAACCATTACTATAAAGTAATTGCATTTTTAAAATTTCCCTTCTTTGCTAAAAAGTTTATGTGCTATTATATATTTTCAAAGGGTAGTGAAGTGTCAAACTATTAAAGCTATCAGAATTATCATTAGGAATTCCCACTTGGAACCAGAATTGATCAATTGAAGATTATATCATTTTAGATGAAATATAGTAAAAAGAGTCAGAAGGCAAAACTTTGAAGCCATTTGTCTGTCTTCAACATTTCATATTAAATAACAAATATAATGCAGTTTGAGTATCCCGTATCTAAAATATTTGGGGCCAGAAGTGTTTTGGATTGGAGATTTTTTTCCAATTTTAGAATAATGAGGTATATTGTGGATGGGACCAAGTTTAAACACAAAATTCATGTACATCTCATATGTGCCTTACACACATAGCCTGAAAGTGACGCTATATGTATTTTTAATGTGCCTGTGTTCTGGCTGTGACCTCTCAGATGAGATCGGATATTGAATTTTCTACTTGTAGTGGCATATCAAACACTCAGAAAGGTTCACATTTCAGATTTTGCATTTTCAGATTAGGGATATTCAACATGAACGGTGGTCAAGAGCTTGAGCTCTGGAGTCCACCTGCCAGTGTCCAAAGTGGGTTCTGTCACTTACAGACCCTAAAGCCTGGGGCAAGCTGCTCAAATTCTCTGCCTTGGTTCTCCATCTCTCATGATGATGATGTCTGCACCATAAGATTGTTGTGAAGTAAAAAGGATTTATACATGGAGAACACTGTAAACACAGTGCCCAGCAGACCAGGGCTAAGGATGTAGCTCAGTAGTAGAATGCTTGCCTAGCATGCATGAGGCCCTGGGTTCCATCATAAGGTCACATACACATGCCCAGCAGTGAGAATTCAATAAATATTCATTATTGTTGTTGTTGTTGTTGTTGTTGTTATCACCACAATCCAGGTTTTACCACTACTCCTTTGCTACTTAGTACTTTGGTAATTGTAGTACCAGCAGCAGCAGGAGATAATGCTACTACTATACTCTGTGCTCTTCTGTGATGTACCACATACCATATAATAGTAGGAGTAGTAGTAGATGAATGACCTTAGGAAAGCAACTTTTAGTCTCATTTTTCTCATCCATGAAGGGAGAAATGCTCTGCGCAGCTCACAGCTTCACCTCTGGGCTCACCATAGCTGTGTATCTTTGAATTCATATTGTGAGAGCACTTTTAAAGATGATACTCATAATATTGCCCAGATTTTGTTGAATTTTGAAAGGAATTATTTTCTTTTAGAATTGGGTGAGGAGTCGCTGTCTACCACTTACCTATCTCCACTAAACAAGTAAAAATTACTGGTACAATCTGTAGGAGGTTGAAGTACTAATAAATGTATTGAACTTCTTTAGCATCGTAGAATGTGGGTGGCAGAAAGTAGCTTTAAGGCCATTGAATCCAAAATTTTACTAATGAAGAAACATGTTTAGAGAAGAGTGTCTCAACTGACCTCAAAGGAGGTCAAATTCGAGTGGAGCTCTAATCTCTGATTCTCAATTCAGTGTGCTCTCCTTTGGAGAGTCTCAAAGAACTAATTTGCCTGAAATTGAATTAAGAAGTAATCACTTGTTGAACACTTAGTATTTGTAAGTAGTAGTACACTGGGATAATAGAATAATGAATGAAGTGTCTCCCTGCAAAGAGCAGGAGGTTAAGTGAACAGTGCAAGGAAATGCACAGTGGTATGAGGAACTGAATAGTGGCACAAACACATTAGGACACATGGGTCACAGGCTGAGGGTGAAGCCCACGTGTTCAGCAGTGATGCCAGGGCAGAGGCTGTTCTCATACCTCTCCTGGGCTGAGGCCATGCTAGAGCCCTTTTTGGTAGAGGGTGGGGGCCAGGGAGATAAGCAGATGCTTTATGTTCCTGTGGCATGAGAATATGCAGTGCTTTAAGTCATGAGAATATGCAAGCTTTAAGAGTAGGCTGTGAGCCAGGCATGGGGGCACATACCTGTAATGCCAGCACTTGGGAGGCTGAGGCAGGAGGATCACCATGAGTTCAAAGCCAGCCTGGGCTACATAGTGAGTTTAAGGCCAGCTGATCTGCATAGTGGGACCCTTTAAAAAAAAAAAAAAAGAGGCTGTGAATGAATCTGAATACCATAGTCCCTGAGATGTTCACAAAACAGGCAAAATCTAGACTCAACAGGCACCCTTATTGGTGCCCTTTTCCTTAAGGATAGATAATGCAGAGGTGTAAAGACATTCCACTCTAAGTAATTGAATCTATACAAGACTCTTTTCCTTCTTTAATTAAAGGCTGCTCTCAACATAAAAGAAAATAGTGTCATCTGCGCTAATAAAGATTCCATATCTTAAGTTAAAGATAGTAAAGGTGATTCTGGGAAGTTTAAAACAAAGGTTGGGGGGCCCAGGGATTTAGCTCAGTGGTTCTTCTGCCTGCCTCACAAGCACAAGGTCCAGAGTTCAATCCCCAGTACCAAAACAAACAAAGGTTGGGCTCTTTCTCTCCCCACTCCCTCTCCACCCTCCCCCCTTTTTTTCTCTCTCCCTCAGACTGGGGATTGAACCTAGGGCTTTTTCAGTGAGCTACATCCCCAGCCCTTTGTCACTAATTTGTCCAGGCTGACCTCTAACTTGGAATCCTCCTGTCTCAGCTTCCCAGAGTGCTGGGATGACAGGTGTGCACTACCACACCCAGCTTACAGAAGTGTCTTTTTAAGTTCTTGTTTTAATTCGATGTCCTCTTCTACTTTAGAGAAAGAATGTTGAATTTTCTTGGTAACAATGAGATGTTAATTTAAACTTCATTCTGATACATGAATATTAGAAGTCTTCAGTGTGTTTCAAGGAATCTAAAGTTCTAAGTAATTATTTGACATTTTTTAAAGGAAGTTTTTCCAGCTATTCACCATAGTGCTCAAGCTTCACTCCAAATTAAGCACAACACACAATGACTGCTGCCTGGGGTCGGGGGGACAGTGGGGGTGCCAGTGATGTGGTTGTGTAATTCTTGAACCACCCTATTTGAATTGTGTTTCCTAGTCCTTCATTTACATATGAGGCAGTGCTTTTGTGAATAGCCTCAAATGTCATATACTTGTGTGAAATTGGTTCCTACACAGTAGAATAGCCAAGTGCTTGTTAGAAGGTATTCCAAAAGTTAGACTCTGAAAGAAGACTTTGTATTTAGTAGTGAATTTAAATACAGAGCCAGAGCTTGTGGGGCACATTAGTACAGATGCCAAAATAGAAGAGTAGCACTGTTTGATCCTCCCGTGGCTCCTTGCTCTTGGTGGAATCATGAAATCTGCACGATGAGAAGGGAGAATCAGCATGACAGTGAAAAAATTAAAATTAAAAATGTTGCCTTAAAGGCCTTGGCCTGGGGATTTAGCTCAGTGGTGCCCCCGCCTGCCTCCCAAGTGCAAGGTCCCTAGTTTGATCCCCGGTACCAAAAAAAAAAAGGCCTTTTTTAATGACATTATTGAGCTGTGATTTTAGTAATAAACAGTTGTAAAATGTACAGTTCAGTACTTTTACTACGTTCAGAGGTAGTGCATCATTCCCAAAACCTGGAATGTTTTTAAAATTAAAGGAACTGAAAACTTTTTCTTGGGACAAAACTCTCCTTTGCACACCTTCTTTTTCAAGCATATCATCCTATCCAGGTTGCATCTCTCCCTCTCCTCATCTTTTTGGTTGCTGATGTTTTAGTGGAAACACTACTAGGGTTAAAGTTTTCTCTTGTAAATGTCAATCTCATTTCTAACTGAAAGCCGTTAGGAACTTAGGGTCAGCAGGCCTAAAGTGCAAATTATTGGATCCAGGAGAATTGTTAAATCAAGTAGGAAATGCTGAGTAGGTTATGGCTGAGCAAAAACTAAAAGAATGGAGAGAGGGTGTGAAAACCAGGATCTGCAAGCCTCCTTTTAAAACCCTTGATTGCCATACTTCGAAAGCTATCCACTTATGTCGGCAATCAAAATGATTAAAAACTGCATGCTGTATTTTACATATGACAATGACTCTTCTCATAAAGATACTGTGGTGTTCCCATCGTGTAAAGCAATCCTATTTCCTTGTAGAGAGAGCTTCGTTTAGGAGCCTGAACCTCCAAGCAGAGTCCGTTAGAGGATTTAATATGGGACGCGCAATCAGCACTGGCAGTCTGGCCAGCAGCACCCTCAACAAACTTGCCGTGCGACCTTTGTCAGTTCAAGCTGAGATTCTGAAGAGGCTCTCCTGCTCAGAGCTGTCGCTTTACCAGCCATTGCAAAACAGTTCAAAAGAGAAGAGTGACAAGGCCTGCTGGGAGGAGAAGCCTAGCGGGATGAGTAAATCATACCATGATCTCAGTCAGGGCCCCCCCCTCTCTCCTCATCGGAAAAATGTCATTGTTAACATGGAATCCCCACCACACACCATTGTGGAGTTGGTGGGAAAACCTTTCCACCAGATGACAAGATCTGATACAGGATCTTGGGCAGGACCCACAAAACTCAATAAGTAAGAACGTGATTAATTCACCCAAACTATATATTTGTAAATTCTACATTTCATACATTTGGGTTTTTGTTTAAACATTTTGTTATTTTCATCATTTTTTTACATTGACACTTCCCCTCCTACCTTCCTTTTCCCTCTTTAGTTCAAAGTCTGTTGCAAGTTTAAATAGAAGTCCTGAAAGGAGGAAACACGAATCAGACTCATCCATTGAAGACCCTGGTCAAGCATATGGTATAGGTCGGCATAAACAAACTTACCTTCTTTCTCCCAAGCCTCATGCTCAGAGTGAAGTGAACAAGATCCTGTCAGTGCCCAAGAAGTTACTGTAGGTTCCATGTCCTAAAGTACCAAATAAGATAAAAGTGATTGTTCCATGGCATCGACTATTACTTAAGCTTCTTCTTGATCGCAGTAGCCATGGCAGTCCCGTGAGAGAATCCAGTCTGGTGCCGCTACTGTGGATTGCTGTCCCTTGGCTGCTTCTGACTAGTCTGTGTGGCTTTCTGATAAGGCCATATTTTTTGAAACGTTTATTTAGGCTGCTTTTAGCTTAGCATGAATGTGATTGTCTCTGAAAAGTTAATTTATGAAATGTTTTACACTTGATGGTTGATAGGTACAAATCCTTAGTTGGTTTAAGTTTCCTTAAAGTCTCCCAGCTAGCTGTTAAAGGGATATTAATTATTTAAATGCAGAAGATATATATATCTATAGATATATAGATATATATAAAATATCTTACAAGATAAGTAGTTTAGGTTGTCCTTGTCCTGTGTGTTAAAAGGAAAAGGCAGTGATGTGAGACTCTTAGAAACTTCAATATCTAGGCACAGAGATCTGAACTACTACTCAAAATAAAAGCAGCTGACGAGACAAAAGAGAAGCAAGGATACCCTCTTCTGTTATTTTACCAAATACTACTACTTAACTCTCTCCTTAGGTCCAAAATTTAGCCTTAATTACCTAGCTTAAAAAGTACTTTTTTCATTTTGTAATTGGAATACGGATATGTGGAATAAATGAAGTTGGAAGAAAACTCTATATTATAGATGATAAATATTTATGGAAAACAGCATTTTTAATGTAGGCATCCACAACTTTCAGAGATTACCACCCATTTAAAATCAGTTTTTAAAAACATTAAAGCAGATAAAAGGCAAGATTTCTCCTTGGAGGTAAAACTGTGTTGAAATAGTAAGTAAGAGACTCATCAATACATTAGATTTTCAAAGTATGTTCACATAGAATGAGATCTCATAAATTCTAAGCTATTTTCACTACAAAGGCTTTGTCCTATAAGAAAATCTACCATGTGTTAGGAAAGTAGTAAATATTCTATAGAAAAACAGATAAAATAAAACGTCCATAAGGGAAATTTACTTTCTCCATTTGTTTTTTGTTTGAATTATTCATTTTATTGAATATCAAATTTTTTAACATTTGTACAAATGCTTTTAAAACTTTTATCATTTCATATTTGACATGTCAATGTCACTGTCAGAAACAACACATTTGTGTTTAAATTTATACTGCAAAACAGGTTAATAGGCTTAAATATTATTTAAAAGTAGTAAATGTACCCATTATAGGTAGATGTATTTTTCTCAGTATATATTAAAATGTTGCTGCCTTAATGTTTTATTGATTTTTATGAATATTTCAGAAGAAATTAGTTCTGTAGTATCTGACTATTTTATAAAATGTCTAATAACTTAATTTATATCACAGGAATGACTATGCATAATTCTGGAAATTCTTCATCCCAAGTACCCTTAAAAGAAAATGGTAGGTTTACAAAATGTTTTTCCCCCATTTCCATCATTTCCTTTTTTCTTTCTTGTATCTTGATGCAACAGTCTTGGAACTAACAGTGGAGATCTTTAATTCTGTGCAAGGAGTTAGGCCTCACCTGAGAGTCAAGAGAGACTGGTATTTTTCAGCATCATGGTGTTTTAATGGGACCTATTCATTAGGCTGCTGTTGATAAAGTAAATAAATGACAAATTGAAGATTTAGAAATCTAAGATAATACTTCAGGTGAGAGATAATTTTGACTAAAAGTATTTTAACCAAGGGAGTCATTTTAGAGGGATGCTGGAGCTGAATCTTGAAAGGAGGGTTTGCTCAGAGGAAATGAGCTTCCCAGACCAAGGGCACAGTGTTTTTACAGACACAGAGAGATAGGAGAGAAAGTAAGATTCTGAGAACAGAAAAATCTCAGGATGGAGGCATGTTAGATTCAGGTTAAAGCTAGGAACCAAGTAGAGCCAGATGTGATGATTCACATCTGTAATTCCAGTACTCTGGGAGACTGAGGCAGAAGGGTCAGAAGTTCAAGCCCAGCCTGGGCAACGTAATGACTTAGTGAGACCCTGTCTCTAAATGAAAAATAGGAAAGGGCTCAGGATGTAGCTCAGTACAAAGGTGCTAAGCTCTAAATCTCCAGTACCACCCCCCACCAAAAAAAAAGAGAGAAAGAAACAAAAAACCGTAGGGACCAGCCTTAAATCCTAAATATTATGAGGAGAATTTGAAGACTTTAAATGTTAAGATTTATAGTTTAGAAAGAATTTGAAACAAAGCTGTAGGAGTAATACTGGAAATGTGCAGTGACTTAAGTCAGTGGGTTCAAAATTTTTAGAATTTAAATTCAAAGTACTTTTACTTTGTACATTATCTTTTATTTGATCTAACAATTTTAAGGGTAGAAAAATGTTTTGTTACTACCTATACATTTCTTACCTCCAAAAATTTCAGAACCTTACCCTTAGATCCTGAAAGAGGAACTAATTAAAAGTCTGATTAGAAAGAAAGAAAAATGCTAGTCAGAATTATTGTTTTAGCCAAACTTGATGAAGCAGTAGTTCCTGATAGAGAAGGCACAAAGAGGCATGAGACAAAGGTTGAACCATGTGGAATTGGTGTTTTGTAAATCAAAACTGTCAAATACCAAAATGTTATTTTATATTATTTTCATTTTATCTATATCATAGAATTCATCCTCATTCTTCAAGAGGCCAAAATTTTTCTTGAAAGTAAAATTATTTCCCAAGTAAAAAATGCATACAATGTCTTAAATACCCATAACAAATGAAGATTTTTTTAAAAATCTCTATTCTGGATGTATTAATCCTCAAAAAAAGTTGAGGGCATATCATTAAAGACAAAAATATTTGGACATGTGCATGGGCCTAAATGAAAGTGACTAAGACCTCAGTATATAGTTTTCTGTAATCAGACTTCTTATGTGGACTGAACATAACCATAATGGTGATTATCATTGACTAAAAACATTGAGTGCTTCTTACTGAACTAAGCGCTTTATGTTCATTTCTCATTTAATCCCCATCACAGTCCTATGAGGTGGGTGCTAATGTTATTCTTCTTCACAATGATAAATCAGAGCATAGAGAAGTTCACTTGTGCAGATCACAGAGCTAGTGAGTAATAGAGCCAAGGTCTAAAGGGGGGGAAGTCTTCCCAGAGCCCACGCTCTAATCCACTTTTTAGACTGCCCCCTGGTGTGATAATGCCTAGCTATTTGTGGATTTTATTTCTCCCAGCTGAACTTTTAAAAGAAGCTGGATAATAATCTATACAAGGATGAGAACTTGCAATTTGTTTTAACTACAGTTCTGATGGAAAAGAATAGGAATTTACTTTGGGTATCCAGTGAGCATGGGCAGGTTAAAGTAGGTTCTCTGGAGCCCCATCTCTTCACCTGGCCCTACAGAAGGGCCACTCCACCTTCCTGTGGAGGTGTCCCCCAGTTAGCTTGCAGACAAGGCTGTGGTCCCCTCAGTACTCTTTTGCAATCTGCCTAAGTAAGCTGAAATAATGCCCTGTTGAGAATCCAGTTTTTACATAATAGAGTATGGCTAGCATAATTTCCAAATACAGCAACAAAGGGTCGAGAAGTTAAATCTGTTCTACAGGTAAGTGTAGGACTTCTCATTATCATTTCAGTGTTCTTCTTGCTGGCTGAGGTTATTAGATGACAGTTATAAATGAATATCACATAATACCGAACTATTTATCACCTGAAGCAAGAATGAATGTATTAAGTTCAATCTTACCTTTCTCGGCTTCCACAGACTCTTAAGGAATATAAAACTTGAAGAAAAGACAAAAAAGTCATGAAGTCTTCTAAATTTACACTTTGAAACAGATATGGGAAGGATTCTAAACCCTTGATTTTTTTTTTTTTTGCCCCCCTTGATTGTTCTTTTTGATACAAAAAAGTCGTGACACCTTTCCAGAAACATGCTTTTCTTAACATTTCCTCATAAGAGAGTAAAAACAAACTATGTAAAACTTATCCAAGAATTATGTGAATTTGATTCTTAATGTTTCTTGTTTTTCTTGTTTATTATTATACAACAGCTTAAAAGAAACTTTGAGCTAAATTTGTCATGTTATTTCCTGGAGTATCCAAAACATGAAATTCATGCAAGTATTTTATGGAGTCTAACATAGGACTCTTAACAAAAATGAAATGCAAAAACTAAAAACCTCCTGTAAAATAGACTGTTCTAGTGCACAGTAACATGGTACAAACACTGAAATAAATATCTTTCAATATTAGAACTCATTATGGGCCAGGGATTTACCTCAGTGGTTCCACCGACTGCCTTGGAAGCACAAGGACCCGAGTTCTATTCCCGATACGAAAAAGCAAAAAACTCATTATATTCTTTTAGTGAAGTGTTAAACAACTAGAATAAGATTTTAAAACATACTTTATTTACTCAGATACCAAGGGCCATGGTAATTTCACCTGCTAGTTTTCCTCTCTAAAGAGGAAATACTAATTTGAATACCTGCAAAGTTAAAAATAATAATTAAAAATAAAAGTCCAAAGTGCCCATAAAGGATTGAACAAATAGGAGAATTAACTAGATGCAATTTTAGTAAATTGAAAGTATCCAATCCATCTCTCTGTATTCTATGGATGATTTAAATGAGTTGGAGATGTTATGTGGTCCTAGTTGACTTAATAGCCGACATAGAAAACTAAAGTTTTAATTATGTTCCTTCTTACCACCAGAATAGATAACATTTTAAGTTGTGTAACAGTGAAAACTGCTCCTCTCTGTTTTTATACCAGTATGATGTTGTTGGCCCATTATCCCAAAGATTTGAAATAGGTCTTTTTCCCTAGAGAGAATGATGGGTTGGTTTTTCCAGAGCCCCTTCTGCCCTCTCAACAAGAGCCTTTTGTACCAGTAACTCTTCCAGTCAATGGCATGCAGCTGCTAATGCTGACTGGGGTTGTGTGGTAATGGGAAAAGGTTGACTCTAGCACGCATGAGATACTGGGTACCACACGTACACACAAACACACATTTTTAGATTGATACAGATTTTCGCTGTATCATGACCTTTTCATTCTATTAACATCCTGCCCTACTTCCTTGAAATCCTTTCCTCCTCCAATATAGTTTTGACATTGTCGGAGCTACGCTCTTACTGGGCAACTCAATTAGTTTACTCACATATCTATCATTAATATTACTTCATGTATTCTAACTGGGGCTGTGTACAATCTCATGAATGTAATGACAGCTGGGTAAGGCAGGATTAGAGCCACAGTTGCTAATGCAGAGAGCATATACACATAATCTCTAAATTGTGCACTGGTTGATCCTTCTCAAAGAATTTCCCAGGTAAGCCCTGTTGGGGATGGCACCAACATGCCATATTACCTAAAGAACTGGAAATTTGGGCCAGGGATTTAGCTCAGTGGTACCCCCGCTGCCTCACAAGTGCAAGGTCCCAAGTTTGATCCCAGTACCAAAAAAAAAAAAAAGAACTGGAAATTTCAAATTGAAGTTTTTCCACTGTATTATTTGCAAACTTTTCTGTGATTATAGTGTATACTAATAGGAAAGGAAAATCACAGATTTAAAAATAAGTACTTGAGGGCCAGGGATTTAGCTCAGTGGTGCTGCCGCCTGCCTTGCAAGCACAAGGTCCCAAGTTCAATCCCCGGTACCACACAAAAAAGTACTTGAATATTAGTGTTTTCATATAGTAATTAAAATAACTCAGAAATGTCATGGTTCTTAAAATATCTGTTTCACTTACAGAAAAACATAAAACCTACTCAGTTCTCATCGAACACTATGAATATTTGCATAGATTGTCACGTACTATACTATGTAACATCAGATACTGCCTCCTCCAATTTAAAAAAAAATCAGTGTAAAAGTATTTTTGGACATTTATGGTGTGAAAAGAGTTGAAGATAGACACTCAGAGTGTCTGCAGTATTATTCAGTAACGTGCAACTGCGCACCATCTTTCCTTCTTTCTACCCACCACAGTGATGGGTCACTTCATGTACCACCAAGGCTCTGGCATGGGGGGAAAGGGAGTGTTAAAAAGTAAAAAAGAATGGTGGACTAGCAGAGTTTCCCTTCCTAATCAAATAATCATTCAAATCTTGTTCTCTAGACATTTCCTTGGGAATGCTTTCAGTCTTCTTCTCATGTGAATGTCTTTCTTGTTACAGTGTTGCCATCTGTATATTCACTTATTAAACCCTACCCTATTTCCTTGACATCTCCTTTACTTCCAGCAGGAAGAAGCCTCTCCTCTCTGGGAATTTCTTTAGCACTTTTTAGGACTTCATGCCTTTGTAATGCAGCTATTTGATTGACAGAATTAAGGGGATTCTGTGTCATAATGAATGAGCTCTTTGCTTTTTTTCTCACATTTGCTGTGCTATCAGCTTTCATATACGTCACCTCCTTTATTTCTCAAAGAGCTTAGGGATGGACATTCACAGTAGAGTTGCACAGTTAAATGTGAAGGATAGAATTGAATGAATGAATACTGAAATCACAGTAGTGAATCCTTGAATATAGAGAAATCTTCTGATTAGGGAGACAAAAATATACTCATGCATGTGTGCGTGCGTGCACACACACACACACACACACAATTAGCCAGATGAGTAATAACCAATCCTTATTAGCACATTATGTTGAAAATAAAAATAACACAGGGCCAGGGATTTAGCTCAGTAGTTCCACTGCCTGCCTCTCAAGCACAAAGTCCCGAGTTTGATCCTCAGTACCAAGAAAGAAAGAAAAAAAACACAGCATTTTAACTTTTTAAATGAACATCTATGATTTCAAACATTCCATAGAAACATTAAGACTATTGATCAAAGGTAGAAACACTGTATAAAGTAGGTGAATTTTATCTTCACAATGGTAAAGAAAACTTATCAAGGTTAAGTACAGCACTGACCTATTCCTAGTTGGATTTTATTTTGTCTATATTGCCTAGGAATTTGCTTTTTTGGAAAATGCAAGCATTTGCTCTTACCAGGTACTGTGGAGAAATGATTTTCATCCATTTCCAAGTATCCTAATTCCTTGTTAATCAAATGCTTAAATCTGTGACTTGAGGGCAAGAGTGGAAATTGAAAGCAATCATCAGTTAATCACTCTATGCTTTGATCTTTATTGATTCTCTCTTCCACTTCACTAATGTGGTCACTTTAGCACTTTGCTGACTTCCATTCTTAGAATGTGGCCTCACTCCTTGTTTATTTCATTGTATTTTATGATTTTTGTTATTTTGTATTCTAGCTGAAAACTAGACCCTATTGTTTATTTGAGGATAAAAAAATCTTAGGGTGATATTTTTGTAATCTTGTTAATAAAATCATTAGAAATAACAAATTACTACTATCTTTACTGATCATAACTATGTTTTGGTCAAAAAGAAACGACTGACTAGTAGTATATGCACTATAAGGAGCTAACAAACATATTAATATTATGGTTAAGATACAATTAAGAAGGGCTGGGGATTTAGCTCAGTGATGCCACTGCCTGCCTTGCAAACACAAGGTCCCGAGTTCGATTCCTGTATATAAAAAAAAGATACACAATTCACTCCTGAGAGGAAACGATGTTTCTCAAACCAAAAGAATGTATTTCTAGAATGTAAAGTATCACATTTATATCCCTTCAGCTTCTATATATTGTGCAGCAAATTACCAACTGTTTTATAGCTTAATGCAATTTTACATCCATGGGTGATCTGATGTTGGAAGGTAAACACATAAGGTCTGTATTCGCAGTAATTTGCCTGTTACAAAAATGCATATAAAGGTTTAAGGCAATTTAGGTTTGTATTTTAGATATACCATAATCTCTACTTTTCAAAGTTTCAAAATGCTTAAGAACTACATAGAATTTGAAAATTCAGTTTACAAAAACATATCTTTAAAAATGTGTGGAACTCACTGTTGCTACCACCTTAGTACACAGGCCATTTTGAGCTATCAAATTATAATTGATGTTAAGAACTGTGTGTTTAAATACTTGAATTGCTAAATAGATGAACTAATTGAATAACGTGGCAATTAAGCATATTTATTGGTTTAGTTAATATATTTGTGAATGATTAGCCTACTTAAAACTAAGTGGAAGGCTGAGGATTTAGCTCAATGGCACTGCGCCTTCCTCGCAAGGGCAAAGTCCTGAGTTCCATCCCCAGTACAAAAAAAATAAACTAAGTGGAAATCAGAAAAAAGTAAATTCTCATTCTAGTGCTGACATTCTTTTACTCTTTTTTTTTTTTTTGGTACTGGAGATCAAACTCGGGACCTTGTGCTTGCGAGGCAGGCGGCAGAACCACTGAGCTAAATCCCTGGCCCTGCTGACATTCTTTTAACTGATTTATTTAGCCACTATTTACTAAATACTGACTTGAAACATTTTTCTGGTAATGGTTTGTTAGAAGGAAATTCGTAATAACATTGAATATTGTCAAATGTGATATAACAGAAACACCTGGAGCCAGGAAACCTGAGTTGAAGAGAGCTCTTTTCGGTGTTAGTCAACTAAACCTGTTCAAATCCTTTATCCTCTCGAAATTTATTTACCTACTTGTAACTGAAATACATAATTTCGAAGAGAATAATTTATGGAGAATAAATATGATAATAGTTGTTTTTGTAAGCTAGAAATCACTAAAAATATGACAGCAATACCAATAAATGCAAAACACATTTTTAAAGTGATCGATCGAGCAATCTGTTAACAGTATTTGTTGGTATATACATTGGAGCAAGCTGACAATTTTACTGCTTGAGCATATGATACTTATTTTCGTTTAAAATTATAAATTCTTAATAGATGTGCTACACAAAAGATGGAGCATCGTGTCTTCACCAGAAAGGGAGATCACATTGGTGAACCTGAAAAAAGATTCAAAGTATGGCTTAGGTAAGTCTGTGAGATTCCTGAAAATCTCTGAAAATCCAAATAATCTGAGGCATAGCACTGACATTGAGGCAATCAGTAGTCCACTTCATTGCTCGACCCCTGCAATCTACCACCCCACCCAAATTACCAGATCCCAAAGAGGAGGTACCTACAAGAAACACTTCCAGCAGATTTAACAGATGTTTCCATGTCAGATATGTTATCTGTTAATCATGTTTGACCTGCATCTCCACATTTCTGTTTCTCAAGAAAGCTAATCATTGAAAACATCTGTATCCTGAAGATCTTTTTAAAAACATGTTTACAGGATTTGAAATTATTGGTGGAGAGAAGATGGGAAGACTGGATCTAGGTGTATTTATCAGTTCCATTACCCCTGGAGGACCAGCTGACTTAGATGGATGCTTAAAGCCAGGTACTTTGCATTTTGGTAACTTCCTGAGTACTTACTAATAGGCATGAATTTGCAAAGAGGGCAAAAGTGGAACTTAGGCCAAACAAAACTAATAACATGGTGACATTTCTACAGTTTGGTGTGAATCTCCCTTTGTTGTTGGAAATACAGGATTATCTATTTTTACAGGAGACCGTTTGATATCTGTGAATAGTGTGAGTTTGGAGGGGGTCAGCCACCATGCTGCAACTGAAATTTTGCAAAATGCACCTGAAGATGTGACACTTGTTATCTCTCAGCCAAAAGAAAAAATATCCAAAGGTAATGTGATTATTTCTTAGTTATGTGTTCTGTTTCACTTTTCACAAGCACTTCAATACAACGGCCCAGTAAATTGAAAATAAGCTGGTTTTTTCCTTTCTGGTAGTCTGACATGTGTGCTTCTAATTGCTTTAATTTTATGTGTCAGTGTAACATTTCATTCATTGTTCCAAGATTGTCTGATTTGTTCCTGTTTAGTAATATATGCATCAAATAGATTCATTGTGCAAAATCAGTGTCATTTGTTGAATGTGATGGTGCATGCCTGAAATCCTGGGTGATCAGGAGGGTGAAGAATGAGAATCCTAAGTCGAGGCCAGCCTGGACAACTTTGGGAGACGCTAGCTCAAAATAAAAATAAAATAAAATAAAATGTGCAGGAAATACAGCTCAGTGTTAGCACACTTGCCTATCATCCACAAGACCCTAAATTCAATTCCAGTACCACCAAAATAAAAAAAAAAGTCACAAATGAATTCTGAATACTTGGTGTGTTCATCTCTACTCAGGTCTAGTGAGGAATAGAATTATTTTATCATTGTGTAATTAATATGGTTCTATGATAGTTATCTATGAAGTCCTGCCCATAATCTTTTCTCTATAAAAAGGAAAAGAACAACAAAGCAGAAACTTAAAAACAAGACCATATTTTGTCTTATAATCCCTGCCATTAGCACATTGTAAGAGAAAAAGCATGTGAAGTAGATCAGAAACCCTGGGTTTAAGTTTTGCCTGTCTCATTTATTAGCTCTATGAATGAAATCCTCTTGAGCCACAGTTTTATTTCATTATGTTATTTAAAGAGAAGACTGATCTCTGTCCTGCCTTACCTGCCTTGTAGAATTGTTAGGGGTGGGTGCTTGTGAGAGAAGCGTGCATGGCCATGTGGGGGCAGCACAGTGCCCTGGACCATGGCAAGGGCTCCACAGGCCAGCACTGCTGTCTCCACCACTTGATTCTGTGCCTTGAGAAAGGCTTAGAAGACCTCCCTGTGCTTAGAGACCCACATAGTGACATATTTTGTAGATTATGAAAAGTAAGGCAACATAAAGAATTAGTACATGCCTGGAATTTATTAAGCATTTAAATGTGCATTTTAGTTCATTTTTAATAGTATTTTCCAAAAATAGGGAAATGTTAGATATATACACATACTACACTCATGTACATTTTTTTTTCATCCCAAATATATACTGGGAAATATTTTTTTGAGTTCTAATTGTGATTTTTATTTTTTAAACATTCTTGTGTATTCAGTTAGGGCTGTCCATTAAACTATCATCACAAGAGCATGGGCTGCTGATACAATTTGATGGGCCCTGGGGAAGGCCTTTTGCTTAAAATTACTTCCTGCTGTGTATACTAAAGGACTACAGTTCACCTGTATTGGTAAATAATTATCACTTTCAAGCTCTATCATGTATTAGCTCTTGATTTTTTTCAAGATACTAGGTTTCAGTGCTCACAATATATTTAGATCAAGCCAGGCATGGTGGTACACACCTGAATCCAAAACTCTGGGAGGCTGAGGCTAGAGGATCGCAAGTTCAAGCCCAGCCTGGGCAAGTTATTGATTTAGTGAGACCCTACCCACACCCTTAAAAAAGGCTGGGATATAGCTCACAGTGAGAGAAGGCCCTGGGCTCTGGAAAAAAAAAAAAAAAATATATATATATATATATATATACACACACACACACACACACACACACACACACATACATACGGGGATATGCATATCTCCATTCCCCATTACTCTCCCTTACACCCTCTTCCCCTGCCCCTTTTCCCTCCCTTTAGTCTCCCTTCTACTTTCATGTCATCTTTTTAGATTCCATATATTAGGGAGAACATGCACTGTCTTTGAGTCTGGTTTATTTTGTTCAACATGATTTCAGATTCATTTTTCCTCCAAATGACAAAAATTCTTCCTTCTTTATAGTTGAATAGTACTCCATTGTGTGTTTTTTTTAATCCATTCATCTGCTGATGAGCAAATAGGTAGGTTCCACATCTTGGCTGTTGTGAATTGTGGCACAGTAAACATGGGTATGCAGGTATCCCTTTAATGTACTGACTTTAATTCCTTCAGGTGTATACAAAGGAGTGGTATAGCTGAACCAAAAGGTAGACCTATTTTTAGTTTTTTGAGGAGGCTCCATGCTGATTTCTATAATGGCTATACTAATTTACATCCTTACCAGAACTTATTCTTTCCTGTATTCTTGATGACAGCCATTCTGACTGGGAGAGATGGACTCTCGATCATTTCCCCAATGGCTAAACATGTTAAACATGTTTTCATATATTTATTGGCCATTTGCATTTCTGCTCTTCAGAAGTGGTCCAATTCCTTTGCCCATTTATTGATTGGACTCTTTCTTTATATATTCTAGATATTAATTCTTTGTTGGAAAAGTAACTGGCAAAGATTTTCTCCCATTCAGTAGGCTGTCTCTTCTCTCTGTTAATTGTTTTGCTTGCTGTACAGAAACTTTTTAATTTACTGTAGTTCCATTTCTTGGTTTTTACTATTATTTCCTATACTGTTAGAGTCACATTCAGGAAGGCGCTGTCTGTGCCTGTGACTTGAATTGTTTCCCCCATTTTCTTTTAGCAGTTTCAAAGTTTTAGATCTTATGCCTAGGTCTTTGATTCATTTTGAACTGATTTTGTTTTTTATAAGGTGAGAGACAGGGATCAAGTTTCAGTCTTTGATAAATAGAAATCCAGTTTTCTGAAAAATATTTTAAAGAATTAAGAAAAAGCTGAAAAACAACTTTAGATAGTGAACATTAGTCATAAATTTAGGTGTTTATGATAAAAGATGAAAAAATATAGTTCATATAATATGACAAAATTTTAAAAATTTTATATAGATGTCATTTTAACTGTGGTTCCTCTGTAACCTAAATATTATGTCTATGTTGTATTTATGTGTGAACAAACACAATAGATGGATAGGAAATAGGAGACACTGCCACTACCCATAAAAGCCTTCTATTCCTACTGAAGTCTGGTCAGGCAAAGAAGGAAACCTGAGTTTCAAGGAGCCAAAATCTTTTTTTTTCCAAGAAGCAGAACATTGGGTTCCGTTATTCACTATTATTTTATCAAAAGAAGTATATAAATTTAGAATAAATTCATTTACCCCTGAATTCCCTAGAGGAGATTTTAATTTTTAAGATGTGTTTTATAGGGCTGGGGGTGTAGCTCAGTGGTTCCGCCGCCTACCTTGTAAGCACAAGGTCCTGAGTTCAATCCCTGGTACCAAAAAAAAAGATGTGTTTTATAGGAAATTCTTTCAATTGTTCAAATATTTATTATGTGGAATGTACATGACACAATACCACCACCTTCATGGAAATCACACTGTATCAGAGGAAATAAATATTGAACAACTGACTAGACAGACTTAGTTATACCTGTGTCAGCAGGGAGTCAAAGATGTGAAGACTTGACCCTGTGACACAGAAACTTTACACAGTATGAGGGTCAGAGGAGGTGTTTGTCTCAGCAGAGTTTCCTGTGGTGTTGGTTTGTTTGTTTTGCTCTACTAACCTCAATAGAAATTAAAAGCACAATGTTAAAGTGTGCTTGTGTGAAATTATTTCTTTAGAAAGAGATTAATCTTATGCTGCGTAGCTGTGCTGTAGTGTGTCTTGAAAGGAGGTAAAACTCAAAAGTACCTAGAAAATGACTAGTGTGTACCCCGGGCTATTTCTCTCAATTACAGCTTAACCAGAGAAGAGGACTTTGTCTTGGTCCATTTTGCTCTGCTACAGCATAACACTCCAGACTGAGTACTTCAGAAAGAACAGAAGTCTGGTGGAGAAGGTCTAGATTTCTTGGGAAATCAAGATGGGGGCCTACATCTGATGAGGGCCTTTTTGCTGAGCCATCCCATGGAGAAAGGGAGAGGGCAAGAGGATGAATTCACAGCATGAGTCCTTTTTCAAATTGGCACAAATCCACTCATGACCTAAACAGTCCCCATTAGAGTCCACCTATCAGCTGTCACATTTGGAGTGAAGTTTCCATCACATGAACTTTGGGGGGGGTCACATTGAAATCATAGCAGCTCTTGTTTTTCTTTTTGTTACTTATCTCTAAAGTTATATGATGCATGCTAGCTCATTAAAATGAATCTAATTTATGCAAAACTCATGAGATAAGAGCTAAAAATCTTCTTGCCCTATTTTCTAAGGAAACTATCTGGTGTGTATGTAGTTTTCTGTCTATTACAGATATTTACATAATTTATATGTGTTTTATATATATATAAAATGCAAGCATTTTTACTAAAAATTTTTATACTCAGCATATCATTCTGTTTCTTGTTCATTCAATGTATTGTGGACATCCATCAACATATACACCTTTTTAATGGGGCATTATATTTTATGTTTTGAACATATTAAAATTCATTGACTTTTTTATAACATTGCAAATGTATATATTTCTGGAGGTTAGATACCTGAAACTAGGTTAAAGAGTATGTACAATAAAGTTTTGACAAGTGTTACCAAATTGCCCTGCAAAAATTTGTAGCCTAACCTAGTAGATTTGACATTCTTCATTACATCTTCAGTGGAAGTACTAGAATTACCAAGTTATTCTCATTTTTGTCAGCCAAATAGGGGGTAAAAAACTTCAATAAAGTGTGTGTGCCTAAGCAGTAGGGAAACTATCTTTTCATATATTTATTGGTTATTTGTATTTTACTTCAAATTTCCAGTCCACATATTATGCCCTGTGTTTTTTAGGAGGTTTGTTTTTTAACCTTCTTATTAAATTGTAGAAACTATGTGTATATTGGGGATATTCTATCTTTTGTTGTTGGTGTTGGAAATATTTGCTGTCTGGTTGCTTATTCTTTTAACTTTTTCTTTGATGTCACTTGCTATGTAAAACTTTGAAGTTTTTCTTTATAAATTCGCATCTGTAATTCTTTTCCACATGTCTCCTGTGGTTTGTGTCTTCAGAAAGTTTTCATAAGTGGCTTCTGATAAGAATTACGTATAAGGAATTTAGAGTTGCCCTCCTTGGTAATTACTTGGAGTCCAATAAATGCTGTCTGGTAGGAAAATATATGACTAGTATACAAATAACTATTACATAAAGGAGAACAAGAGCTAGAGATAAAATTCAATGGTAGAGTGCTTACTTAGCATGTATGAGGCCCTGGGTTCAATCCCCAACACTTTACAAAAAAGAAAGAGAGAAAGGAGGAGGGAAGGAAAGAAGGAAGGGAGTGAGGGAGAAAAAGACCAAGAATGTTGGAGACTCAAAAAAAGTATACATTATCTTTGGAACCAGAAAAGTTATCACAGAAAATTGATTTGAAATGAGACTTGAAAAAGAGAAATGAGATGGGGAGCCAAAAAGGGTACACATTTTAATAGAGGTTGTTGTAAGAACAACCAGAGGAGGGAGAAAGGAAAACAAAACCAATCTCTACTCTTTGCAGGGACCCTGCTGTGGCTCCACAGCCTAGGTTAGATGTTTTGCCTGTGTTACTTTGTAAAACTCCAGTGATCCTCAGGGAGCCTTGTGTATGAGTATAAACACAAGCATGTATGGCATGGACTTTGTTTATTCTCTTCTTGGATCTTGGCTTACAGTGCCTTCTACTCCTGTGCATTTTCCCAATGGGATGAAAAACTACACGAAGAAGACTTTCTACACACGAGAAAACACAGTGGATTCTTTGGAGGACCCCCCCTGGCAACGGGGTGCCCTGAGGCACCTCACAGAGGGCTCCTGTATGCTGCCTAGGGGCCTGTGGGAAGGAAGCCTCAGTTCTCAGGACTCCAGGACAGAGAGTGCCAGCTTGTCCCCAAGCCAGGTTAATGGTTTCTTTGGCAGCCATTTAGGTGACGGAGCCTGGCAGGAATCACAGCATGGCAGCCCTTGCCCATCTGTAGTATCCAAAGCTACTGAGAAAAAGAGAACTTCCTCCAACAGTAACCAAAGCAAGTCCAGAAAGCCAGCCATTCCTGATGCACCAGATGACTCTGAACGCGGAGACTCAGACATGGATGAAGCCACTTACTCCAGCAGTCAAGACCATCAGACACCAAAAAAGGCATAGTTTTAATTTGTTTGTTTGTTTGTGTTTTCCACTTAACAAAGCAAACAACAGCAAATACATTGACTAAAAGCTGCTTACATGATTTTGGAAAGGAAGGATGGTAATATTCTCTGCTACTAACTGCTACTGCATTTGATGCTAACTTGTAGAGAAAATAAAAGCTCTGACACTAACCTTAAAATGACTGTACTTAGATTTTGATTGATCTCTTACAAGTTGTTCACCTCTTGCATATTTAACATATTAGGAAAAGAACTTTAAAATCTGAAAAATTCTTCCTGAATAGGCAGTTAAATTTACTATTTATGGCTTAAGTTCTTCTGAAAATTTGAATGGATGCAAATAATAACAATGAAAATGGCATATTAGAAATGATAGAAATGTAAGCTCACATTCACGAACAGCTTTAGAGAGATACCTTATACCTTTTGCTCACTAAAAATGAATATTCCTCCCAAGAAGGTTATGCCCTTATAAACAGGGCTTAACTGTTATTCCTGTGTTTATATTGAGTTTGCAGACATAAGCAAAACAAAACACGAAGTTGTCTTAGAAGTTCCAGTCCAGCCTACCACTTGAGATAGAGATTTTTAAAGAAAATGGAAGTTTTTGATGAACTTGGAAATATAAAATGAATTAAACAAGTAATCCTAGTTAAGTTCTAGTTAGGATCTAGGCCTCTTTCTGCCATATCTTGCTGTTTGACCTCAAACAAGTACTTCAAACTCTGGGCATTGGTTTCCTCAGCCGTAAAAATGAATGCATTGGACTCTTAGTCTTCCAACCCTTTTGTTTTTTTAATACACTCTAACTCTATCCCTTAATATCTTGTGTTTTAATTTTTTCCCAAAAAACACATATTTGTCTTCCATTAGTAATTCATTTTGACCCTAACAAGAAATCCTTTTTTGTTTGTTTTTCTTTGTTAAGGAATCTTCTTCCTCAGTGAATACATCCAACAAAATGAATTTTAAAACTTTTTCTTCATCACCTCCTAAACCTGGACATATCTTTGAGGTTGAACTGGCTAAAAATGAGAACAGCTTGGGGATAAGTGTCACGGTACTGTTTGACAAGGTTTTCAAATGTTTTCTCTTCTTCATTTCCAGCAGCCTATTATATACCAACTTATTAGTTGAATTATTTTGCTTCATATGGAGCACTTGTCAAATACAAAATTTTAAAATTAATTATCTTAAAACTTTTTTAAAAATTGAGTGTTGGGCCGGGAATTTAGCTCAATGGTTCTGCCACCAGCCTCACAGGTGCAAGGTCCTGAGTTCGATCCCCAGTACCAAAAAAAAAAAAGGATAAAATTGAGTGTTAGTCATTTTTTCCTGTTTTAAAAAAATTATAGAGAAACACTGCCTTTCTTCCCTTTCATGCTTGCTTAATCTGAAGATAAGACATGCAAAGTATAAAATGAATCTGTATGCTTTATACACTTGACAGTTTCTGCATGAGTGTAGAATAATGAGATGATGCATCTCTAACCTAGATCATGAATAATTAAGACAATAGGTATTATATGTCCTTTCTCTAAAATATATAATACTTGTAAAAATATTTAATAGTTAAAAATTAGATGTTCCAAAAAATATGTATCTTAAAGGTTATTTAAATATGAGCATGGGCTCTTTGATAAAATTATTTTGGAATATTTTAGAGTTATACTAATCTCCTGTTCTTGAATTATTATAATTATCATTTACTACATTCAAAAAACTATTGAAAATTATGAAAAATCATTCAAACATACAGGAGAAACAGCACTGTAAATATATTGAGGTCAAAAAGAAAACCTGATTTTCTAGCATATTTTAAAATATTTTAAGAAAAATCAAGATATATTATGTACAGGTACAAATTCCCTATGATGAATGTGATCATAATGTATAGCTAAAATATACAAATAAGGTCAATTTTAAAAAATATTTTAACACTTTTCCTCTCTCTTGTCTTTCTGTGGTGAAGGGAGATAAAAAAAAAACTGCATGGGGCCAGGGATTTAGCTCAGTGGTACTGTGCCTGCCTCACAAACACAAGGTCCTGAGTTTGATCTCTGGTACCAAAAGGAAAACCTACATGTCCATAAAAGATAGAAAACTGATTCATTACATTTTACCTATATCATAAAAAAACTTCTCTAACGACCCTTTTAAATTTTTTTTAAACTTTTTCCTTGCCTCATGGGATTTGCTCTCAGATTTGCAAATATGATCTGAAAGTATTATTCCATACACTGTTTTTCTGATAATTATATTCTCACACTAATTTTGCATAGATAGACTTTGCTTTCTGCTTGCTTATAATGCATGATGTAGACTTACAAAGGAAGAGCAATTCCTCACAGAGTTCTTGTATAGTTACTTACTGAATTAAATAGTTTGCCAAAAAGAAATTGTTTTGACATTTAGAAAATTTAGCTAACAATATTCTTGGGTATTAAAATAACTGCACATGTGGAAGTAATGGTACTCCTTTGTCTAGTCAGTTGAATGCTTTCTAAGGCTCATATTTGGCAGAGTGCAAAATTTTTCATATTACCAAATATTTTTTTTTCTTTTTCTGTTTAGGGAGGTGTGAATACCAGTGTCAAACATGGTGGAATTTATGTGAAAGCAGTTATTCCCAAGGGAGCAGCAGAGTCTGATGGTAGAATTCACAAAGGTATGCTTTTATGTATGTAGGAATTATATTCACAAATAGCCATCAAATAGATAAAAAATAATAGACCTGATATAGACACTTAAATTCATAATATGAAATTAAAATATACTCAGTTATAAACTACATTAAGCAATTCCTTAACACCGCTTTAAAAACTCTTCTTTCATCTTATTCCATAGTATCAGAAGATATCTTGGGCCAAGGATGTAGCTCAGCAGTACCATGCCTGTATGGCAAGTGCGAGGTCCTAAGTTAGATCCCTGGTACCAAAAAAAAAAGAATATATCTAGACAGTGTTTTAGTGTGTATTTTGTACCTGTTAATAAGCAAGTTGCCAAAGAATGATGAAAGGATAGTATGTGTCCTTGCAAAAAAAAAAAAAACACCCAAAACTGACTTTTGTATTTCTAAGGACTAACCAGGGACTTGCTTCCACTCTCTGCATTTGTAATTCAGCTTTTTTTTATGATTTAAATTGATTTTTATAAAGATGCTCTAAAATGTAATGGAGATTAACAGTGTAGAATTGAACAAGAAATTAAATAACATGTTAAGATATGAAGCAGTTTTGTCCAGAATTTGTCTGTATCTCTCCTCAAATTAATTTGAAATAGAACTAGCAGATATAAGCATGTAGAATCTTTGATTTCTTTCTTTGAAAATTACCGCCTAATTTTAGGTGATCGTGTGCTAGCTGTCAATGGAGTAAGCCTGGAAGGAGCTACCCATAAGCAAGCTGTGGAAATACTGAGAAATACAGGACAGGTAGTGAATCATAATACCAACCTGTTAAGAAACCTTAAAAAGACGTAATATGTGAATAGTATCAGTTGCATAGAGACCTCTACATTTGTTAATAAAGAAACCAAGCCTGATTTATGTATCTATTCTGGGTCTGTTTTTTGCCTTCCAAATTGACTAGTATTATGACAGAAAGGTTTTTTACTGAGGAAGTTGGCTTTCTGTGTCTCATTTACCCCTAATATTACCAAAGATGAATGACAGGGAAAGGGATGGAGATTGGATTGTTTAAATGTTTCATAAACATTTCCTAGTTTTTAGTGATTTTTCACTTCTAGTCATTCGACAGCCCAAAAGCTAAATTCATTTTATTCAAATACATTTTAGGACTGGAAGTCTACCAAATTATTTATAATGATTTTTATACTACAATTTAGTAGTAATTTTTTTCCTAGTACTCAAATTTTCAATGATTTGTTTATGCTATTATCATAGATTTTAACATGTTTTATGGTAGGGTGTTTTTTTGTATATCCTTTTATTGGTACATTTTAGGTGTACAATATAATGACATTCATCATTGGAGGTAGGCACCTTTACATACTGTCTTGGTTCTTATTTTTTCCCCCTTCCCCTGACCTCCCTTCAACCCCTCCATCCCTCCCTATTTACAAAGACTTTGTTTCCATTTTTTCATTTTCTCATATTAATTCCATTCCCTTCTTTCCTTTCCCCTACCCCTCTCACTTCCCCCTCCCCTTTGCCCCTTTTCTTCCTATTTCAGATTATCTATTATATCTTTTAGTCCTTATTTACACTTTCAGTTTCTCACACTAGAGAAACTCTTTGGTATTTACACGTGTGTCCTGTTTATTTCACTTAAGAGTATTGCCTCAATGTGCATCCATTTAGCAATAAATGTCTCTAATTTCTCATTATTGATGGCTGAGTAATACTCCATTTTATAAAAAACCCACATTTTCTTTATCCAGTCTCCAGTTGATGGGCAGTTGGGCTGCTTCCAAGTTTTAGCTTTTACAAATTGGGCTGCTACGAACATGGATACACACATATTACTGTGGTATGATTCTTTTAATTCGTTGGGGAAGATACCCAGCCCGGGAATAGCTGGGTCAAATGGGACTTCCAGTCCTAGTTCTTTACGGTATCTCCATACTGATTTCCACAGTGGTTGTACCAGTCTACACTCCCACCAGCAGTGGAGCAGGGTTCCTCTTTCCCCACAGCCCTGCCAGCATTTGTTGCTGGTTGATTGCATGATAGCAGCCATTCTTTCTGGAGTGAGGTGCATTTGCATCTCTCGAATGACCTGTGATGTTGAACATTTTTTCATATGTTTATTTGCCATGTCTACGTCTTTGTGTGAGAAATGTCTGTTCATTTCAGATGCCCATTTTTGGATTGAGTCTTTAAATTGGGGAGGTCTGATTTTTTTAAGTTCTTTATAGATTCGAGATAGTAGACCTTTGTCTGAGGGACTGCTGGTGAAAATTTTTTCCCACATTGTAACTTGTCTGTTCACACTGTTGGTGGTTTCTCTTGCTGTGCAGAAGCTATACAGAAAGTAATAAAAATGTGATTTTGAAGCTTTTGATCCTTTGGTCTGTCTTTTCCCCCTCTAGCTATATTTTGGTAGAACAGGTAGCTACTTTAAATTATTTTATACTCCAGCTGTACAAAGTCCTGATAGTATTTTCTTGTTACTCTTCCTAATTAAGTGCTATTCTATTTATCCAGGTGGTTCATCTACTGTTAGAAAAGGGACAACCAGCAGCATCCAAAGAACATGTCCCTGTTACCCCACAGTGCACCCTTCCAGATCAGAATGCACAAGGTCAAAGTCCAGAAAAAATGGTGAAGAAAGCAACTCATGTCAAAGACTATAGCTTTGTTACTGAAGGTCAGGCCTTGGGAAACTCATGTGTCACTGTGAAATTATTATTACATTATTCAAAATATGGTATTTACATGTTGGTTTACAATTCATGCCCTAGGCAACATTCCACCTAATAATTCCCAAATACTGGTCTTTCTTAAAAAATTTGCCAGCCCATGGACATATCACCAGTTGGTAGTAAAATTTAAAAATTAAGAATGATATAGTAGTGAATTCTCAGTTGTTTATAATACTGGAGTAACATTTATCTGAGATTCCAACTTTCTACCTCTTAAGGGACTTAAATGCTCTTTACCTTATAAATATGGTGCCTGGTACACAGTCATGGCTTGTCTTTTATTTAAAATCTATATTTGATCACACAAATGTTACAACTCTGACTCAGTGCCAAAAGTAAGGTGGTCTACCCGATATTATTTTTCCTGATTATGAAAATAAAAACAATATAACTATCTTTTCACACTGTTCTTTTTTATCATTCTTTTTTTTTACACGTGTTATTTTTAATGCCTTAAAACCATAATTGAGGGGTTTTTCCCAAAGAATTTAAATTCTTAAAAAGGATATCTGCATATAAATGTCCTCTTATTCAGAGTCAGCTCCAGTATATGAATGGCAAAACTTCAGACATGAATGGCAGCACATCAAGTTAGTACCATACAAAAACATCACAAATTTAGGCACTTTATCAAAGGAAATGTCTAGAACACTGTCAATGAGGTTGTCCTATCTTCTGCCACACCTAGTCAGGGCTCTGCTGGTCCCCACTCAAATACTTTATAGCAGCCTCACTCCATCCTATCATTCTTTCTTTTTTGTGTGTGTGCGTGTGTGTGTGTGTGTGTGTGTGTGTGTGTGTGTGTTTTCTGGTCTTTATTCCTTTATTTTGCTGCTGAGAATTTTATTAGAATCCCATTGTAATTTTTCTGGATTAAATTAGACCTCACCAAAATATCCATGTCAATTTTCCCATACCCTCAGCTAACATTTACTCTGCTCTTCTTACCACATATACCTGAATTTCTCTTGTACTTCCCCTTCTCTGGATCCACTCACCCCATCCCACCCCACCCCTTATTAAACTGTCTTTTATGCTTCAGAAGTCTTTTCCATTGAAACAGCTTAGTCCTTGTAAGTAGTTCATTGAGTTTTCTTAATGACAGAGTGGAAAATGGGATTTGAGTATAGTGTGAAGGTGCACTGTGTACATACAGAGTAAATATCATGGGTGAATTGGGATTTTTAAAAACGTGTCTAAAAGTCTATATTTTTGTATGCTTGTGTGCATACACAGCTTTAAAATATTTAAATTTTCTTTTTTTCCAGAAAATACATTTGAGGTAAAACTGTTTAAAAATAGCTCAGGCCTAGGATTCAGTTTTTCTCGAGAAGATAATCTTATACCACAGCAAATGAACACCAGCATAGTAAGGGTTAAAAAGCTCTTCCCTGGACAGCCAGCAGCAGAGAGTGGAAAAATAGATGTGGGAGATGTTATTTTGAAAGTGAATGGAGCCTCTTTGAAAGGACTGTCACAGCAGGTGAGCCCTAGGACTAGAGTGTAGCATTTGTAATGAGGAGCTGGGTAGCTTGGGCCTTGCTGGTTAATGGTGTCTTCATTTGTTATTCATGGTACCCCAGGAAGTCATATCTGCTCTCAGGGGAACAGCTCCAGAAGTGTGCTTGCTTCTCTGTAGACCTCCACCCGGTGTACTGCCAGAAATTGATACTGCTCTTCTGGTAAGACGTGTGAGAAATAATTCATACTTTTGTAGAATGTCAATTTAGTAATTTGCTAATTCAGTTGTAGTACTTACATCATGGATTAGTCTCCTGGGTTTCATCCCTAACTAATTCTTTACCTGGGAGTGCTATCTTGTGTCACTCAGCCTCTTTACATATATTCCGTATTTGTAAAGTAGTCAGTTTAATAGGCAAGATAGCACATTCCTGTAATCCCAGCTACTCCAGAGGCTCAGGGAGGAGGATCACAAGTTCAAGGCCAGCCTGGGCAATTTAGTGAGACCTTACCTCAAAATATAAAAATAAAAAGAGTAGAGATGGAGCTCATCACTCCCTGGATTCAATCTTCAGTAACCCCCACCACCACCATGCACATGCCAAATGTGATCAATTCACAATTCACTTTCTGTTCTCTTCTGCATTTCTATAATTCTAGATGCTAGAACTTCAGGAATGTGTCTTCTAAGCATAAATGGAAAAGATAAAATAATGGTTACAAAAATCTTATGTCCATTTTTTTCACTGAAGTAAACAAGGGCTGAGCTTGTTTGGATAAAAATGAGTTAATATTTTTAGGGCCTTCTTTTTTTAACAGAGAATAGAATATGTTTGAGTTCCTTTCCTGCCAAGGTTTGGTTGAAGGATCCAGAATCTATTTCAGTGGTGATTTACAAATGCATACCAATAGGTAGGGGTCAAACCTAAGTGAACACTAATGCAATTAAAGAAAGTTTTCCCCTTGTCTGTCTACATAAAATTGCTGCACTACTAGTGAATGGTGACTCTGGGCTTTAGAAAGCAGGAGTATCTGAGACAGAAGTTGTAACCTTTATACTGGGGAGAGGGGAACCATTAGGAAGACATTAGTAGAAATGGAACATTTATATAAAATACACTAGAAATAGCATTTTAAAAGATGACATTGATTTAGGGCACCAGATATGATGAACCAGATGGAGGTCTCTTAAAATCTTCCTGGAAAGCAATTTGGAAATATTTAACAGAGCTTTTAAAAAATCCTTTGTCTGATAGTGTAGAAAATTACAAGGGAATAGAAACCCAGGTGAAAATTTACATATGCACAAAGAAGTTCTTCTAGTAGTAAAAACCTAGAAACAATGCTATAGCCAAAAAGAAAAAGCCTGAAATAAGTTAAAGGTATAGCCATCCTTAGGATTGCTAGATGATTATTAAAATTATTTACAAAGCATATTTAAAGAGTTTAGAAACCTAAATTTTGAAAGTAGGATACAAATTAGAATATGTAATTCTAATTCTGATTTAAAATATAAGTCATACAATATTAGCTGCTGACATATTTTTTTCTTTAATGATTTTAAATTACTGTTATTGTCAGAAAATTAATTGAATATTTTAATAGAAAGTGCTGTTATTCAACAGGTTTGTTTCCAGTTGAGTTGTCACCATCTGTCTCTTTAAATGTGTCCATTACAGACCCCACTCCACTCTCCAGCTCAAGTGCTTCCAAGCAGCACTAGAGATCTTTCTCAGCCATCGTGGGTGGAGCAAAGCACCAGCTCAGATAGAAATGAAGTGTCTGACAAAATCAAGAAGCCGTGCAAGTCCCCCTCCAGGAAAGATAGCTATAGCGACAGCAGTGGGAGTGGAGAAGATGACTTGATAAAAGATCCAGCAAAGATATCAAATATAACTTGGAGTTCAGCTTTGCACCAGACTCTAAACAACATGGTAGCCCAAATACATACTCAACACACAGCACCCACGAGTCAAGAAAATGCCATGTACACCATGTTTTACTATCCTCAGAAAATACCCAGTAAACCACAATTTGAGGACAGGTATTGTCAATGTTATGCTTAACACTCAAAATAACTGGTGATGTTAGCAACAATAGTGGCAGAAATATATATATTTCCGAAAGGAGTGTGTCTGTGAACTTCCCAGTGATTAGGGAAATGATGACTTTTTTCAATGTCTAGCTATTGTGACTACCAGTTTTATTTGGTTAAGCAGTAAACACTCTAGCCAGGCAACCTGAGCGTTGCTTCTCTCTTGAGCATATTTACTAGTAATTGAGAAAATTGTTTTTCAATACTACTCAACCAGAAAGCCACAAGATTTATTTAGGTAATGATGCAATGGAAGATTAGAGCAAATTACACAGGGAAGGGAGTGGGGAGAAAAGTTTGTAAATGGCAGTTCATCCAAGATGGGAAAAGAAGAAATGATTGAAAGCAAAGATGCATACAAAGGAAAGATTAGCTTCAGCCTTGAATTATCAGCTAGGAATCAAGAGTATAATTCTTTGACCTGTCTTTATACAATTTAAAAGATTTGAGTTCCTCCAGAATAAAATCTAGATAGAGAATAAATAATGACAATATTAGCATATAATAGACAAATAAATTCTTAGTCTAGAACCAGACAAAAAGTAGCTAGGATCTCAAATCAAAACCAGACAGGAATATGGGAGCATTTTCTGTTATAGCACCAACTTAACTATGTTGACATTGGAATGTATTTGAAAATAGTCTTGCTTCTTTGTCTCAGTAGTAACCCTCCTTCTCCTCTACCACTGGATGTGACTCCTGGGCAGAACTGCCAGCCCCACTTAGAATCTGCTTCCTCTAATTCAGTGGGTAAATATATACATCACACTTCCGAACCAGCTAGACAAGAAAACTTGATAACTTTGAAAAATGACCTGGAAAACCAAGTGGAAGACTTTGAGCTGGTAAGGTGTTCTGTATTTCAAGATTCCATGTTTTCTCAGTGCAGATATAGACACTCAAGATTTCTCTTTTAGTTGGGAAGAAAAGCTACCTTTTAGAGTAGCTTCATGTCTGTGTCTAATAAATAGATAATATATCTAATATCTTTCTCTGCTGAGAAATTAGAGAAAAAGACAAAATAATCTGGGTTCAGATCCTTGGCTCTGTTGCCATATGGCAGATACCTGTGGGATAGGTCATTTCTGATTCTTAGGAGCTTTGGCAATACAGTGAGGCTAGTAACCTGAGAGGATTGTGGAGAGATTAAATTAAATACATCTGCAAAACTAGACCAGCCGTGGCAAACCTATGGCATGTGTGCCACAGCAGGCTTTTTGTATCATTGAAAGCTTTAAAAGGTTTACCATCGCTGGGCTAGACCCTTAGTAAATCATATTTTCATTTGTTTCTCAAATTCCAATTAACTACTCTACCTGTTTAATTTTTAAAGTTTGAATATTTTTTCTCACTTTTTCCTCATGTGCCTGACAGGAATTCTTCATATTGTGAAAATAGCCTTTGAACTTATGAACATACAAATCAAGCTTGGGAACAAAATTTCCAAGTATATGAACCTTTTTATGGATTAAAAGCCTATTTTAATACTGCTTATTATCTAAGTAATAAATGTTTATTATAAAAATTACCTTTAAAATATTATTAAAATATCTATATCTCACCACCCAAAAATCATAAATATTCTGGAGTTGATCTGTGCAGATATTTTGTTTCCTTATAATGGTGTAAGTATATGTAGCATCTACATCTTCAGCTTCATTCTTAGCAGTACAGTGAAAATGATGTTTGAATGATTTCCTTGGAAATCTGTCTTCATCCACATGAGCAACCTATGTATCTCAGTTGAAATATTAAAATGTTTTTGCTTCCACGTCGTAATAAATCAAGTTTTGATATATAATCACTCAAAAACTTCCTGTTGTACCAAAAATAACACAAAACCCCCACTTTCTTTTGTGATTTCTTGCATCTATCTTGGTTGTTTAGAAATATGTGAAGAACTTTTCTAAATCTTCCCTCCAAAAAATATTCTTTGATTATCAAAGTATAGCAGCTGATGTCCTTGTTTATCTTGGAAATACAAAAATGGAAGCATGCCTATGTTCTGTCTTTGCTATCTGAAAACAAACATGTAATGTTGTACTTAAACCCAACTTTTACTTGCTTGGGGGAAGGAAGCATTCTATCCACAGATGAAAGGCTTAGTTTTTTTCACTTCATCAAGTTAAGTAAACTTTTGAGATTTGTTTTCCTCTTTAGCTAATCAAAATAGTCATCTTTTTTGTTTGGCTGTAGGGTAAAATAGACAACCTTAAAGGAATCTGTTGTATTTCTCTAGGAAGTAGAACTGCCCATTACTCTAATTAAATCAGAAAAAGGGAGCCTGGGTTTTACAGTAACCAAAGGCAACCAGAGCATCGGTTGTTATGTTCACGATGTCATACAGGATCCAGCCAAAAGTGATGGACGGCTAAAGCCTGGAGACCGGCTCGTAAAGGTGGGACCTTTAAGAGGAATGGAAGACTTGTGCAAATGTAAATTAGTTCTTTTTTTGTTATTATATTGAAATACCTGAGGCAGGTCAACTTTATAATGAGATTTGATCATCTCAGGATTTTGAAGATTTAAGGGCATGCAGTGGCAAGGAGATCACATCTCGAAACAGGAAGCCAAAGACATGGGACCTCACAGTTCCTTCTTAGAGCACACCCCCAGAACCCACTAACCTCCTGCTAGGCTCTGCCTCTTAAAAACCCCAACAGCACACTCAGGATCAAGCCTCTAGCACACAGCCTTTAGGGGACAGACTTGGATCCTATCCACATCGTAGCATTAACTAAAGAACAGTGGTGGCGAACCTATAGCACACATGCTGCAGCGGGCACACAAAGTCCTCTGTCAGCACACGAGCCAAGTATATGAGTTGCTTTTTCTAAGGTTTAATTGTAGTGTTGGCACTTTGTGATAAATAAGTGGATTTTTGGGTTGCAGTTTGGGCACTCGGTGTTTGAAAGTTTCGCCATTACTGCCAAAGAACAAGCCAGGGCTGAAGAAAGAACAAGGTTGAGTTAATGTAACACTGTGTTTCTCTGCTAGATTTGTTTCCCTTTTCCACCACTTAAAAGTAAAGGTTTTTGTTCAGTTAACTCTTTAGGAAATACTCAAGATTCCTGTTTCATTTGAAAGCCCCTTTAATCTCATTAAGGCATATTATGTAAAAAGCTAGAAAGATTGTTGTATTCTTGGCAATTTAACTTTCCTGTTCTAAAAATTGTGATCCTATCTTGCCCCTTTTTCATTTTTCTAGGTTAATGATACAGATGTTACAAGCATGACTCACACTGATGCAGTGAATCTGCTCCGGGCTGCACCTAAAACAGTTAGATTAGTTCTTGGACGAATTCTAGAATTACCCAAGATGCCATTGTTGTCTCATTTGCTGCCTGACATTTCATTAACATGCAACAAAGAGGAGTTGGGTAATGAAAATTCAAGCTTTGTACCCTATGATTTTCTTGGCTAGATTTAGTACACTTATGACTGAGAAAACAATTATGTTCTGTTCGTTGAAGGTTTTTCCTTATCTGGAGGGCATGACAGTCTTCATCAAGTGGTATATATTAGTGATATCAATCCAAGGTCAGTTGCAGCTGTCGAGGGTAATCTCCAACTTTTAGATATCATACATTATGTGAATGGCATCAGCACACAAGGAATGACCTTGGAAGAAGCTAACAAGGCATTAGACACATCGCTTCCCTCAGTAGTGCTGAAAGCAACAAGGTACTCTGCAGTAATGGATGGGCTTTGTGTATGTGTGTGCGTGTACTTCAGGTTGTTATTATACTTATGTACTCTTACAAGATACTACAAATTAATTCACAGACTAGACTAGCAGGACTCAGTAAAGTTCGAATAGACTTCCTGGCAGGAGATTAAGTGGTTAAGTCTTTGAATACATGTTTGTAATTAATAGGACAGTTTACACATTTATCACTTAAGATATTTTCAGTTACAAGTAACAGAAATACAAGTCAGCTTTGTTAGAAGAAGAAAGAGAATTTATTGGTTTATTTGGTTTGTATGATTTTAAAAGCCTAAAGATAAAGCAGTCATCAGGTGAAATTTGCTCAGGGCTCTGGTTCCCTTTCTTTGCTATTTTCAGTTATTCCTTCCTCTTTGTATCATTTTAGGATAGGCAATTTTCTGCATTGCTTTCATGCCTCACACCTATGTACCACACCATCTAGAGAAATCTTCAAATGGAAATCTCACCAGTCACCACTGGTAAAATGTGTGTGCCTTTGCCCTCAGCCTAAATTAAGGTCAGTCCCTGAACTGAGGCAAAGGGATAAAAGGAAGTTGATTGGTTTTGGGCAGTAACAGCCTTTCCTAGAGCTAGGATTGGTCATTCCTGCTGGAATCTACTGATGAGCCATGGAACTCAGAACAGCTTCACAAGATTAAAAAATACTAATATGTAACAGGTTTTCTTTAACTTCTCTGAAATTAAGAAAACATGTATTAGTTTCTTTTTGCATCTGTAACAAATTACTCAGTGATTTAAGACAAAACAAGATTATCATAGTTCTTGAGGTCAGAAATACAAAATGGGTCTCATTGAGATAAAATCGAGGTATCTTCAGGGCTGTGTTTCCTGTGTAGGTTGTCAGACAAGATCTATTTCCTTGCCTTTTCCACCCTTCTAGAGACTCCCCATTTTCCGTGTCTTCCTGGTCCCCGCCTATCTTCAAAGCCAGTGGTCACTGCTGCCTCTGCTGCCACATCTTTCTCTGCTTCTGACTTTCCTGCCCCCTCTTTTCGTGTATTAGGTGGGGCCTCAGTGACGACAGTCCAGTTCTAATAAGCCCAGGTAATTTTTCCATCTCAGTATCCCATCTTTTCTGCTATATTAAGTAACATATTCATAAGTTCTGAGGTTTAGAGCAAATCATTAGCATGGACACATTTGCGGGGGGAGCCAGTATTTTGCCTGCACAATGTATATGAATCCTGGCTATCTAGATTACAAAGTAAGCCAAATTCACAATTATGTCTGTGAATTATTCCTTTCAAATATGAAAATTGTGAATTAAATAATTGATAAACTTATTTTTCCTTCTGAATCTTTTAAGTTAGATTATAAGAGAATATAATCTCTGACCTGACTCTTTTATAGGTTTCCAAAAATTGGATTGGCATAATTATTTTCATAGATCTATCTAAACATTAATTACTGGAGAAGTCTTCCAACAACCTGAAAATATTTTTGTGAAAGTTAACATAGCTGCCACCCTTAGATCTAGCTAAATGTTTGCCTCAAAAGCAGTAAAGTGTTATTCACCCAGCCCTGAAATCACTTTATTTCTGCTTTTCTACTTTTATCTTAGCCCTTGCTACTAAATATATTGTAGTCCTATTTACAATTACTTTCTTTTTCTTTCTTCTTCCAGGCCTCTCTCCACTGTTTCATACATATGTCCTCTTTAAAGTCCACAGGGTAGCAATAATGGAGGAATGTGTATTCGTGGTAGTTATCTATTTGTTAAGAACTATAGTGGGTCTGGGAATTACCCTACTTGCAAGCTAATAAGCTAGCCAAAAGATTGGTACAGCAGGCAGCATGAGCATTGTGAGCGTCAGTTCCATTGTCCCTGAAGGCCCACAAGATAACATCTGTGAGCCTTGTGGATTCCTGCACAGGCAGTGGGTTACACTGCAGGAGAGAACAATGTAAGAGCAGCCTCAGGAGTCCATCTTTTATAACAGCCTGTTAGAGAGACTGGTATTTTGCAGGTGAGAGAGGTTACCTCATCCTCCAGGTTGCTCCCCATAAATACAACCTTGAGAAAAGGGGCCTGGATAAAAGAGATCAGGGTCAGGACCTTACATTTTGGAACTGCCCAGCAAGAACATACAGGGATGCTTAGACCTGTGATGTATTGATCCTCCAAACAATATCCACCTTAGGCAGCCTCCCTTTTCCCTCATGTATCTGCTGTAATAAGATTGCATATTAATCCATGTTTCCCAAAGTACTGTCTTTTTGGCTGTTTTTCTCTTTGATATAATTCTTATAATTCTTTGAATATATACATATATTCAAAGAATTATAAGAATTATACATATTTATGTATTTATATATAATTATAATTATATATAAATTATAATATAATTATATATAAGAATATATATTTCATACAGATTTTTCCCTTTAAATAATCTAAAAAAAAACTTGTATCAGGGGCTTTAGATACATAAAACTTGTAATCTAGGATTTCTAAGTTTAATTTATCTTTGAGCTATCTACTGATTGACAAAGAACTAAGTCATTAAATCATGAACATTCCCAGTGTTTTAAGTGAGGGGGGAAATGGAGGTTGTGTTGAACTGAAACTCAAAGAAGGCTCTGTAAAAGTTAGTTTTAGTCTTTCTTGGGTCAGAATTCTCTCCCTCCAAAAAAATACATAGATGAAAACTATCATAAAATGTTGTCTGTAGCATCAATGTTCCTAACTTTGAGGTCTATCCAAAATAAAACCCCTGAAATTGTTAAATAGTTCAGAGGATATTTAAACAAATTATCTTAAATCTTTGCAATTTTTTTTTTGTTTGATTTGGTTTTTTACAGAGATGGTCAACCAGTGTTTCCTAGTTCAAAGAAGTCTGCCATTTCAACCCTAGAGTCAACCAAAGCCAATGGTAAGGGCACATTCACTTTATAACACAAGTATTTATGGAAAGGTGGCTTTTTTTCTTCCTAAATAGCAACTTTGCATGTTGCCACTAAAATGCTTTTATTGCTCTTCCAGAGTGTTTTGCAGAATCTAAGTAAAATATTGTACTTTAATGAAAGCATCTCTGAAATTCAGTGTACAATATAATGGAAAAATGGTAGAACAGGGTGAACCACAAAACATATAGCCCAGTGGGCCTAAGTTTATGAGTTCTGTGTGACCTTAGCAAGTTACTTGATCCATGTATAAGCCTCTATTTCCTATTAGTAAAATAAGAATATTATTACTATCTACCTTGGAAGGTGATACTGAGTCATAAATATAATAGTACGTGTAAAACACCATCATCCTTATCACAAAGTACTTTCTTCAAAAATGTATTCATTGAATTCCTCTAAGTTAGGCACTGTTCTGGGCATTGTAAATGTAGCAGTTCATAAAGCTTCTGCGATACATTCTAGCATAGTAATAGGAATAGTAGCAGTAGTTGTTGTGGCAGCAGTTTAATTTAATATCCATTCTAGACTAAGCATTCTTTTAAATACTTTAATCCTCACAGTAACTCCACAATTCTAGTGTTACTATTATCACTTTATAGAGAGGGAAACTGAGGCATGGGGAAGTTTGATAACTTGCCCATGCTCACAGAGTTAATAAAGACTAGAACCAGGGCCTGGGATTTAGCTCAGTGGTTCTGCCACCTGCCTCGCAAGCACAAGGTCCCAAGTTCGATTCCTGGTACCAAAAAAAAAAGACTAGAGCCAGAATTTAAATCCAGGAAATCTGATTCCATGCTCATTTACATAATGAGGGCCTATAAATGGAGCTTTTATTGGTAGTACTCGTATGTTAGACATAGAAAAATGATTGAAATTGCTGCATTTGAAAAGTAAATTCAGTGCTTCATACGTAACTAATTTTTTAGGTTAGTGTCTAAGTACCAACAGTAGCTAAAAGAAACTTTACTGTAACAGTTGTTTTGCTTCTAAAAGTTAAAGCTTCTAAAAATCTAAAGAGGTCCCTTTTATATATATAAAGAGGTCCTGCTCTATAATAGTTCCAATTCATGGCAGGATCATAAAACAATCAGGAGAACATTTTTCTTGTGACCTCTGGGATGACTCTTCTTTGTCACTTTCCAGTGCTCTGCTCCTTTGCTGAAGTTACCTAGTGAGCTACTCTCGATGAGATCCTCTGACTGATAAGACCTGTTTCTGTAGAAGTTTTAAAACTCATACAGTATCAGTAACAGGAGCTCTCTTAAGGTGGCCAGAATGCAAAATGGCATAACCATTTTGGAAAACAGTCTGATAGTTTTTGTGCAGAGCTAAAATTAATACCTGGTTTACAAATTATAGTTATATTTGTAACTTTCAGTTATACCTACAACATATTTTCTTGTATTGAAGAGATAATCTTTATGGAGTAAGGTAAATGCATCTATTCCCTTAAATCATGAAGTGGGTAGGTGGCTAGTAAAATTCAGTACCCATAATTCCTCCCCATTCAGTTGAGATCATTTATATTCAGTGCCTTGCCCTTGAATCTTTCAGCCCCAAATGAGCATTAATGTCAACGATTTTCTTTTAAGAAATTGTTTGTCTTGGGCCAGGGATGTAGTTCAGTGACATTGCACCTGCCTGGCAAGTGCAAGGTCCTGAGTTCAATCCCCGGTACCGGGGGATGGGGGGGTTTGTTTTTCTCTTGGACTAACCCCTGCTCTATTTTATTGTTTAGTTGGTTTATCACTTTGTGATGTGGCCTCTTTTAATATAGCAATAAAATAATTTCATCAAAAGTGTTGGTTTTCTTTCTTTTTTTTTTTTTAATATGTATCAGATTCTGTAGAGGATCCAACCCAGGGTTAGGTTTAGCACATGCTAGGCAAGCGCTCTCCACTGAGCCATATGCCCACCCCATAGTACTTAAGGCAAATCTTCAGGTATCTCCATGTCCTGGCAGACATGTAGGTCCTTACATGTCTTTAAGTGTGTTGAGTCTTTACTGTTAGTGTGACTGGCTCATCCCCTTCCTTTCTGTGCTGTTCCTTGCAGGCCATCACAGTATGGAGCTCTGTGGCCAACCCACCCTCGCTCCCAGGGACTCGTTCTCCAAGGTAAGTAAAGACTACCTTCTTTCATGTCAGATCACTCTGATTGTTTCTGTTCATACCAAATTGATTTCATATTGAAATATTCATCTTTTTTAGATAAATAAGATATTTTTTGGTGAATTAATAGGTAAAGTACACAGCACAGATCCCCCACATAAGCAACCCTACATCCTTTGCCACAAACTCAGCTCTTAAATAAGTTAATTACTTAAATATAACTTTACTCTTGGGATCTTTTTTTTTATTAGTATGCACAATTCTTTCAGTTACTTCATAGACCATGGGAAGAAAAGAAGAATATAATTAAGAATAGAGCTGGGCCCAGTGGCACACCCCTATAATCCCAACTACTCAGGAGGATCAAAATTCTAAGCCCAGCCTGAGTACTTTGGGAGACCCTGTCTCAAAATTAAAAATTAAAATATGAGCTAAGGGGCTGGGGATTTAGTTCAGTGGTTCTGCCGCCTACCTCGCAAACGCAAGGTCCTGAGTTTGATCTCCAGTACCAAAAAGAAATAAAAAATGAGCTAAGGATGTAGTTTAGTGATATAGCACTGATGGGTTCAATCCCCAGTAGTGGCAGAAAAAATTGGTCCTTTAGGTTAATGTTGGACAATAGAGACCTGCCAGTGTTAAATCTATGCCACTAGTGAGGAAAAACAGGATTAGCCAAAGAAATAGGTTTACTTGCTTTTGAAAGACTTAGAAAATGCATCACCACATGATAAAACAAGAGCTGGAACATTTAAGACTAATACAGAAAAATCTGTGAATAATGTCACCAAAGTATCTTAACGCATAATAAATTCCATGTCATTTGTTTGGCTAACATTTATTTTTATGATCTTTCTGGCATGTAATGTACATTTCTAAAATGATCATGGCTGGTTGTTCATTTTGTTGGATTGTCTTTTCTTATATTCGTCCCACACCATCTATTCCAAACCTCCCTACTCAAAGTTTCTATGTAATGTAAAATTCAAGGCGTCTCCCATGGTAAAACACATTCCTCTTCTAGTAATCTAAAAGTCTTATCATTTCTATGGGATTCTGGACATGAGCTAGCTTTGATGTAGAAAAAAATGAATTTAGTGACGAAAAGCCAAATAATCTGTGCCTTTCATCTCACTGTATTTTCTCACACTTGTGACTTAGTTTAGCAGCTCCTCAAAAGATAGTGCAGCAGAAGAAATGTTAAGGCAGAAATGATTGTGACACACAAAAAATGTGTTTATATATGTGTATGTTTGGATTGAGCTACAGCAGTACTGTTTATTCAGAAGATCTTCAGTTTCACATAGCAGAAAAGAACTGAATTTTTATGCATTTCTAATGCTATTCATGCTGTATAGTATTTACTTTCTTTTTAAATATAAGCATGTTGTTGAAAGAAAGAACAGTAGAACTTCTCCTAAATTAACATGAAACCTAAGAAACCAGGACTTTTGTTGTTAATTGCTGTCAACAATTTCATTGGAGTTCATATCTTCCAGGAAGTTTCCCTGACAATAATGTTCTTCCCTCAAATGTTAATGTTTATACTACGAATTTTTCATGAAAAATAGGATTTCACAATCCAGTGATGCTTTTTGACATCATTATATCTCCACTGTTTATAATAATTCTGTCACATCTACCATGTGTTTTTGTACCTTAAAAAAAGAATGAGACCTGAGAAAACCACAACTTTTTATTTCTGCAAAATTATTTTAATTTATTCTAATTATTTAACTTTATATTTATCTTGGTATTTACCCAAATCTTTTTTTTCTGGTAGTTCTGGAGATCCAACCCAGGGCTGCATGCATGCTGGACCAGGGTGCTGTCGATTAGCTATAACCCAGACCCATTTTTCTTTCTTTCTTTCTTTCTTTCTTTCTTTCTTTCTTTCTTTCTTTCTTTCTTTCTTTCTTTCTTTTCTTTCTTTCTTTCTTTCTTTCTTTCTTCTTTCTTTCCTTTCTTTCCTTTCTTTTCTTTCTTTCCTTTCTTTTCTTTCTTTCTTTCTTTCTTTCTATGCTCCATAAGTACTTTCAACTTATTGCATTAAAAAGTTACATTCTGTTGTTCAGTATTTATTATATAGTTACGAATCCATTGTTATTTTTCTTAAATTCACATATGATTAAGATTAGATGTGAAAATCTTTACACCTAAAAGATCACTACATTTAAAGTCTATATCCATGTAATCACCTCATAAATAATTCAAAAATTTATTTTTCCATTTCCCTTAACTTCTAAGCTTCTATAGTCCTGTTAAACTTTTCAAAAATGTTCTTTGGAAGACAAATCCCATAAAATATGTCTCAGGTAAGTTTAAGTCCAATATGTTTAAGAATTATTTAATAATATATTTCTTTTTTAGCAGCTCAGAAACTGTAGTAAATGTAAGAATTTCTGGGACCAAAAAAACCTGATTGAATATTACTTAATGGAGTGATTCCAGGTGTATTTGATGAGGGAAAGCTCTACCCCTTTGCACTTTTCATTTGCACTGATTTTCCTGGAAACATAGTCTCAAGGTGGAAAGATATAAAATGATCTTGTACTGGGAAGAAGAGGAGAGGGGCAATGGTGCAGTCACTCCCTAAGCCTGGAGGATGGTAAAATAGTAACCTGATGGTTTGTTTTGCTTTATACTTTAGGTTAATGGGGAAGAAATCATTGAAATTTTGTATCCTGAAGGAAAATGTTCTACTTCTCAGATGAAGGGATCAGCAAATTTGACTGGGCCTGAAGGTAGTTTTTCAAATAAGTCATCCAGTTACTCTAAGTGCCCTAAAACTTTGGGTAACGAAAATAATCGGGTATCTTTTTGTATTTGCCTTACATCTCACTGTAGCTTTAAAAGGAATTAGTCTTCAAGAAAATTTTTAAAATGAAAACAAAGGAATATAAAACTAATATTGTTAACTTTATTAATATACAAATGTCCTGCATCTATTCTCATCTCTGAAGCTGGAATTACTTTCAAATAATTGAAAAGACAGAGCTGCCTTGTTTCATGGTGTTTCCTATGTTCTGTAAAGCAGCACCTCACAGGCTACCTAACAGTTTAGAAACTTTATCTTGAGGATGTTTTGTACCTTAATCTTGGTAATGTAACTTTTTTTGGCTTCTTTTTTTGCACCAGGTATGGAACTCGGGACCTTGCGCTTGCGAGGCAGGCGGCAGAACCACTGAGCTAAATCCCCGGCCCTTTTTTGGGCTTCTTTCATAAATTAATAATTTGAAATTAATTTAAGAAAATAAACATTTAATTACAACTGCCTTTCAGAGTAGCTGCTTGAAATTTTATGTGCTGACACGTCCCTTTCTTGTTCACTATTTTTAAAGTAAAATTCATGTAAATTAATGTTTTTCAAGAATCTGATATACAAGATGGCGAGATTTATGATGATCCTCAAGAAGCTGAAGTTATCCAGTCTCTGCTAGATGTTGTGGATGAGGAAGCCCAGAATCTTTCAAATGAAAATAATGCAACAGGAGATGCTTGTGTTCCAGGTACATGAACCACATGGACAAATTGGTACTCTAAGGGGGTACAAGAATGTTTCTAGCAGATATATTTTGAGTAAAGATGAAATACATTACCATCTTCCCTGTTCCTCATTGGTAATATTTCAGAAGTAAAATAAGTTTTATCACCTATACATAGGTATTTTCCTCTCTATATTTGTGAGTAGGTTACCTTGTCAGTGAGATCTCAGACTGTCTCGGTAACATTTTGGCTTTTATTTTCAGAAATGATATTCCAGGCCAGTCCCACATAGTGATACACACGTGTAATCCCAGCTACTGAAAAGGCTGAAGCAGAAAGATCCTCAGTTCAAGGCCAGCCTGGACAACTTAGCAGGATTCTGTCTCAAAATAATATAAAGGGCTGGGAATGTAGCTTAGCACTCCCTGGCATTCCTGGTCCCAGGCGAAAAAAAGAAAAGAAAAGAAGTAATATTACTAACATTTACCCTTGTTGATACTAAATCATTGTTAGAACATTGCAGTTTTTGTTTTGTGTGGTTTTTGTGGAAGTTTTTCTGTGTGTGTCTGTGTGTATTAGACATTGCACCCAAAGCCTCATACATATTAAGCATATGCTCTACCACTGAGCTATATCTCCAGTCCCATAGATAATTTTAATCAGAATTCTACCCTGACATGTACTATTCTTTGTTACTGACATTTACAGTTACAACACTGAAACTATCTGTGAATATTAGCCCTTTTATTGCCTTCTTTTGAAGAAGAATGAAAACTTTTCTATTTTCTCATTAGTTTCATTAGCCCCTCTTGGCTTGTATATTTCTCTCCCAGGTACATTGAAAACAAATGGGAGGTTATCAAAAGAGAGAGCAGAAGACACAGACTGTGATGGCTCACCTTTACCTGAGGACTTTGCTGAGGTGAGGATGATACCTATATAAACATAATACCTATATAAACCTACAAGAACTCTTCTCACTATCCTTCTTAGTCTTCTACTTCACATGTTCAGAATTGTCAAACTGTGCTGATTTGGGTTTTTAGAATAGTTAACCACCTGTATCACTTATACACAGTCTCATACACATATACAAATGCTTAGTGTGTATATACAAGGAAGGTCACATCTGCTGAGTATTTTATAATCCTCAAAATTGATTACACAACACTGAATATCTCAACTACATTCTTTAGTGGTTTCACTTAAGATGTTCTTTTGTTATCACAGTATTAATGATCATAACAATAGGCTCTGAAAATTTTTCTGAACACTTTATAATAGTTCTAATTATATTTTTATTAATAATATTAAGAGTGACACTTAAAATGCATGTCCTAAAGTCTCTTTTAACTAAGAGAATAAATGAAAAACCTTAATTGTCATTTCAATAATGTAATGTCAAGCTGGGCATGGTGGGACATGCCTATAATGCCAGCAGTCAGGAGGCTCACCATGAGTTCGAGGCCACCCTGAACTACATAGGGAGACCCTGTCTCAAAAACAAAACAAAAAAAGTCATATCAGATGCCTTTAAAAAAGGGAAAAGGCTTGTTAACATATGTAGATTCTCATTTATAACTAAACTATGGTAACAGCAGTTAATGGCAAAACGTCATTATCTTTATTATGATTTTTAATATATTTCTTCATTGTAAAAAATTTTAATATGAATTCTATCACATTGTTCTAAATTTAGTTTTTCCTTAATAATAGATTATTACCCTCTTTCCACATAAATATATATAAGTTTGCTTCATACCTTATCATTTTATCATATTAATATATCATAACTGATTAAATTTGCCATCTACTGATGATTATTAAATTTCTGGTGGTTTTATTTGTTGTTTGGTGCTGTAAACGGTCAGGTCTCACATGACAGAATTAATTTTACAAAATATAAGTGGCTTGTGTTCCAAGACCACTTCTCTGTGGACTCCACCGTTTCCTGTTGTCCTGGCCTGCCCCACCCAAGCATTTCACTTCAGGGTGGTCTGGTCTCTGTAGGCAGTTCAGTTTGCAACCTGTCTAAGTCTGTTCAGGTTGCCATAACAAAACACCACAGACGAGGGGAGAGGGAGTTTAAACAACAGCAATCTATTTTCTCACAGTTCTGGAGGCTGAAGTCTGAGATCAGGGTACATCAGGATTGGTTTCTGATGAGGCTTTTCTTGTGGGTTTGCAGATGGTTGCCCTGCACTGTCTCCATGTGACTGCTGCTCTGTCAATGCACTCCTGTTACCTTTTTCTCTTCATATAAAGACACCAGTATTGTTGGATTAAAGACCCACCTTTATGGCAGTGTTTAAACATTAATTACTTTATAAGGCCCTGTTTTCAAGTACAGTTACATGAGGGTTAGAGCTTTAACCTGCGAATTTGGGTAGGAGGTACATAATTAAGTATATACAACAATCTTTGCTTAACCAGTTGTAAATGTTAAGATTTTGTTCACAGTAGTTACAGACAAAAGTTCTAGATATCAGTTCAACCAAAAAAAATGTATCAGACCTGTCTTATGAAAATTTAAAACTCCACAAAGAACCATGAAAGAAGTATCCAAGAAAAAACATTTCTTGTTCTTTGACAGAAAACCTAAACTTTAGGCTGGGGATTTAGCTCAGTGGTTCCACCGCCTGTCCAGCAAGTGAAAGGACCCAAGTTCGATCCCCAGTACCAAAAAACCCCACAAAACCCTAAACTTTAAATTCTCCCTAGATTCACCTATAAATTGAATATGTTCCTATAAAATATTTCAACTCTTTAAAAATGAGAAAGAAGGTATACTTGATAAAGTGATTCTAAAGTTCACCTGGGAGAATTAACATTTGAAACTACCTAGGTCAAGTCTTAAAAAGGCTCAGAGGTGGATAATATTTCTTTGTCTTCCCAGCAAAATAAAGATAGACCAGTACGTTTGTGCATTCAGAATACACAATGCTTATGCCCAAGCATTTTATGCCCATCCATCCACAGAAGTAATAAATTAACACTTCTTAGGAATTTGAGAAGCAATTTTAACCTCTGGTAAGCAAAACAAAGTAAGAAAATAAATTTTAAAAAAAGAAAATAAATTTAAGAAAGGAGAAACAGGTAAAATATGAAGAGTTATTTATATCAAAGAAGATATGTTTAAATCACTATGAAATTTCTGCTCACGAGACAAATTCAGAAGAGGCATACATGACTCATCTGTATAGCTGAAAGGAAAACTGAGCCAGTATTCTGGAAAAGTATCCTGTTTCATCTTATGTTTCCAGAATATTGCCACATTTTAATACTGGCTAATTTTTAGAGTGCTTCAGAATTTTCAGAAATAGTCATTTAGCCTGGCATAGTGGCACATACCTGTAATCCCAGCTACTCGGGAGACTGAGGCCGGACTGCAAGTTCAGGTGTAGCCTGAGAAACTCAGCAAGACTCTGACTCAAAATAAAAACGGTAGTGATACAATGTTAATGATAGAGCATTTGCTTAGCATATAGGAAGCCCTGGGCTTAATCTCGGGCAAATATTTTTTATATTAAAATATTTGTATATTATATATTAATATATATGTTTAAATATGTATTTATAGTCTATAGTTTTTTATATGTCTTTTTATAGTCCCATACTGGATATAGTCTTTTTTTATAAGTAGATTATCTATAGATCATCCTAAATATGTTGTAGATTATTCACTGAATTGGTTCTAACAGCATATTGTACAATCCTGAAAGTTTTAGCCTGTACCAAAAGTAAAGATGTTAACCATTCATATTACAAAGTATTAGATCTAGCTTCTTAAAAAGGAAAGTTGAGCCCTCTGGTGTTACTCATGCAGAATCATATGTGCCACTCTATTTTAAATGTCTCTACATTGTAGTGCCTCTTAGTAAAGTACTTTAGTCAATGTCTATGTTTCACTTATGAATAAAAGAATGGGTGCCAGTCATATACATTATTATAAATTATCATCCAAAGTTCACACTGTTTATTCAGCTGTTTCTGAACCTGTCTGACACTGATTTTCCTGGGGATGATGGTAAGAAGAGATACCAATGCTTCTTTCCTACATTTGCAGATATGTCTGGTGATCAGTGTGTGAGATGTACACATGTAAATAAACACAGTTTTGCAAAAGCTATACTAAGAGACACTTTGCATGAAATGTTTATATGAAATTCTGAATGGGTTATGAAGAATAAAAGAAAGGGTAGTCTGTGTGGGAGCAGGTGGGTCAGCTTATTAAGGCTTGCTAGAGAATTAGCTTTTTAAGGGTATTTGACAGGAGAGATGAGATAGAAAAGACCATTCTGTACTGTGGAGCTACTTTAGCAGAGGCAGAAAGGCCTGGGTCAGCCAGAAACATTTCAGGACTCTGAGTCATTGAAAATAGGATATCTATTACACACTATTTTGAAACTGAAGGCTGAAGAGAGAGGAAGGAGTTGGTTATTGATGTGACTTGGATGCCTGTGAAACCACCTTTTTTCCTTCCATCAGAAATTTTATATGTACAGGACTTCCAGTAAATTGAAATTATTATCAAGATAGTTTAATTCCTAATGCTTTTCTAACTTTACAGAGTCTATAACAGAACATGTTAAAATGTCATTTTTATTAAATAGTTGAGATAACCTTCAATGTGTCAGGCTTATGCGTAGGCATGTGTAGACACTGGTGAACAGATAGGCATTTCTGCTGTCATGAAGCTCACAGTCTAATAGAGAGGAAAAGAGAAAAGCAAACATGCAAATAGATAGGGAATGTTTTACATATGTAATTTAAATGGTGAGAGAGTCTATGAAGTTTTGGGTTTTATTTTTTTTAAGGTGCTATAGAAAAAATAACCAAGGAAACCTGCTTTAGATTGAGTGGCTAGGGCAGTGATGGCAAACCTATGGCACACGTGCCACAGCAGGCTATTTGTTATCATTGAAAGCTCTAAAAGGTTCACCATCACTGGTCTAGGGAATATCCTTAGGAGGAAAAGACATAGTCAGTGTTTTTAAATGTGCCTCCCAAAGAAAGAGATCTGTGGTAGGAGATGAGCAGTTTTGAAGACATGAAATACCCACAGGTTTGAAGCCTAGTGGTGACAGATGGACAAGGGCCAGATCATTCAGAGCCATGCCATAAAAGGAATTTCCTCTTTGCTAAGATAACATGTCCTGATAAAGACTGAAATGTAGGATTTACTCACCATTTAATGATACAATTTGGCAAGTCCTAATTGTAGCAAACTGTTCTTTATTGTGATCTCGAAAGACCACACCCAAAGTACAAGATCATTGACTTTTGATTACAAAAGGACAAGGTAATTTAATACATTTGAAAGTACATCTTGAGCCATTTTCAGATTTGTTTTTTTTTTGTTTCTTGTTATGTTCCACAAGCTGGCCTTGAATTCCCAGGCTCAGTGATCCTCCTGCCCCAGCCTCCCAAATAGCTAGGACTACAGGTGCATACCACCATGCCTGGTTTATTTTCAGATTTTAAAGTTTATTAATTAAGAAATTTATTAATTAAAATAGTATAAAAGCATATGCCAAATGTGCATATCCAAATAATCGCTAATTCATATTTTTACCTTGCTTTTTCCTTAGCTCTTTTCTATTTATATCCTTTAAGTGACAAGTGAAAAGCTACAATGCCCATGAAAATCAGTAACTGGCCAACAGAAATGCTTGGGCCACTGAGGACCCCTCAGGATCTGTCTGCAGTGTATTAATTGAATGTCATGTGTTTTTGTAATGTGAAGATGAACAAGAGCACCCAATAATTCACAAAAAAATAAATATGAGATGAATTTGTGTTATAGAAGTTTAATTTAATTTTAATGTATCTTCATTGTAGTCTCCTGAAATGAATGATTGTAAAGAATACTGTGAAGAAAAACTAAACAGTGAAAGGTAGGAAATTTTTTCAAAGTGTCTATAACACTTCCATTCTTTTTTCTCAGAAATGCTCCGAAGATATCCATCTGCTTTCCAATAAAATAAAAATGATTGAATAAATTGTAGAAATATAAATGAATATTTAAACTTTTAAAATTTTTATACAAGGGCCGGGGATTTAGCTCAGTGGTTTTGCTGCCTGCTGTGCAAGCGCAAGGACCCAAGTTTGATCCCCGGTACCAAAAAAAAAAAAAAAATTTATACAATGAAATTATATTGGCTGAAAATACATTTATGCTACTATTGCTTCTAAAAAGCTATGTTCACTCAGCCATGGGAAAAAAATGAATGCAAGAATAGTCTAAAACGAAATATGCTAACAACAATAGTGATTATGTTCTTCTGCTAAGATTATGGGTAATTTAGTTTCCTGTTTCTCTATTTTTCTATGCTTTCAGATTTTTAAATTTCATTAATAAAATAATGAAAGTAAAGATAGTAAAAAACTTTTTTAAACCCCTCAAAACGTTTTATTTTTGAAAATAGTTTCTACTATAAATTTTTTTTAATTTTTTTCTACTATAAATTTTTTGTAACACTATATACCACAGCAAAGTTGTGTGTATTATTGATTAACAAGATGATTATACATAAATTTTGCTTCATATGTGGTGATAATCAGTGAAAAAGAGCTATTTGCATTTTCCTAGAAAGGCACATTGACAGTGAATTTTTTACTAAGTTAGACAGGAAGACTCCAGTTAGAACTGTATGTTAATGATTAATGATAATCTAATGATTAATGATAATCTAATGATTAATAAATACCAAAAAAAGAGGACTCTCAACTAACAGATGCCTCTTATGCTTTGTTAGGGAAGGAAAGAGGAGGAAGAGGAAAGGTAAATTTAGTGTAGTCTCTTGGGGAGGTAGTTGAAAAAATTGTCATCATGTTACTAATTCTTGGATGTTCTTGTTTTTGTTTTAACATCTCTAAAATCATGAAGGCTATTACTGTTATAATCATTAATATTATTTCTTCATGTAAACAGAATAGTAGTATATCTTATGAAGATTAGGGATATAGATCAAAGACAAATGATACTTCCCTTTCAACCTAGAAATTTTATATCTAAGAATAAGTGCCACTGCCATAGGTATTCAAAGACCTTTCTGCAAAAGAATGCAGTATTCTTTTAGAATATTACTCATAATTCATAATTGCAACTTTGTTTAAAATAGCAAAACACCCTAAAAGACAGTAAATTAGAGTGCACTCGTGCAGTAAATATTGAGCGGCTATTCAAAAGAATGAAGACTGGGACGATGGAAGGACCTCCAAAGATGTCTTTGCATGTGTGTTAGCACACAGACCAACCCCAGGGATGCAGAGCTTACACATGGCCTGTTAGGTGAGCTGGAGCAGAGGAAACGCCTACCATAAAGCAGCCTAACTGCCACCCCACCACCAATACTGTGGGACCTTTAGTCCCGTCCGGCTTACAGTGTACGGTGTCATCAGACAAAAGCTCTCTGCTTCCTCCCAACTCTTGGAAAGTGCGAATGTGCCCAGACTTTTACATAGTCCTTTTTTTCATCTCACCTTGGCGAACAAACCATTATTTTTCTACCAGTTTCTCCATCCTCTTTAGAGGGATGCCGTCTGCTGTGCATCCCTAGAATAATGGGACTCACGTGGAGTTTCCTTCCATTATGTGAGTGCCCAGATACAGCAGTGCCCTCTGGCCTCCAGGTTACATCCTGAGTATTTCTCTGAATAAATGTAGATGCTTGCATGCAATGCGATGGTGAGTGGACATGTTGGCATCCCTCATGCCATGAAGGGAAGGAAATGGAAGCACCATCTTCTCCATCCCCATGGCACGAGCTTGGGTTCTTCATGAGGACAGAATGAAAACTGGGTTTAAACTTTTCTGCACCTCAGTTCAGTGTGTATCTACCAATAAATTTTAAGAATTATGGATTTGGGGTTTCTTTAAATCAGATAATCTTTTTTAAAATACTGTAATAATTTTAGTGAAAATGAGAGGTTAGGGGCTATGATATTTAAATGTATTTTGTGGAGAAAGAGAAAACATAACAAATGTGTTTTATTGGCACAGCTCACTGCAAAAGTCACAAGAAGGGAAGATGAAAGAGGACGAGGGAACCTGGGGAACTGGTGATTTGTCAGTGGGAACCATAGACCATGAAGACTCCAAGAAAGGCAAGGGTTTATTAGACTTTATTCATTAAAACAATGGGTAGGACTGTCTAGAAATGAGTTTCAGAATATATGAATGGTATTTCACCATCCATTTGCATCATTTGGTTCTATACATAAAGCTGAATCACAGACAAGCAGCAACATCCACTATATAACCAGGTTATTCACAGGAGTAGCCTGAAATGCTCAGTAGCTTGGACTAGAACATACAAATGAATGTACAAGTGCCTTAAATGGAAACACAAAGCCATAATTTTGCCTGTGGACACCTGGAAAAGTAGGGAATTATTTCCTTGACTCCCAGCCTTGTATTTTAAGAACAAGAGTCAGTTGGTCTCTTCTCACTATTACCACCTGCTCATTCTATTACTGAGCCAGTGCTGAAACATTCTGTCCAGGGTTTTATTTCCCTATTTTTGTGTTAAAAATGGTATGTTGGCATAATAAAAGGGCATGGTTTTCCCATTTGAAGTGCCTTTTAAAAGAAATTACGGATGTTGAATTAACGCTTTTTCAACATGAGTACTGTGTGTACAACCATGCTCTTGTTGACTCCTGTCACACTCATTCTCCCAACCTTGGAGCTCCTGTTCCTGCACACTCAGTAACCTAGAAACATTGACGGCTGTTCACTGAGTAAGCTTTTTGTTCCCGGCCAGATGCTGACCTCCTGGGATCTCTTGTCCAGCCTTGCACTCCTCACAGTGCCCAGCAATACTCTGGCTACATACTAGCCACATTTTCAAAGTGCTTAATGAAATGACTGCACTAAGGTACACTGAGGCAGGCATTGTAGAAAGAAGCCTCACTTACCTTCTTCTAGAATAATAGTTACTTTCTAATATTGACTTCTACAGAACCAGGTACTCAGGCCCCTGACTCTTCTGAGATACTTGTTTGATTGAACTCTAAAAAGACCCAAGCAAATTCTTCATGTGCATGGAGAAAACTATCAGATGCCAGGAGTGGGTGGTGATGAAAGAAATCAGTTTCCAGAGCCATCTCTCCTATATGAGTACTTCTGAAGCATTTCTCATCTTTCTCCATGTGCTTCGAAACTACTTACATGCAAAATAATAACAGAACTACATGTTTTCCTCTTAAAAAGCAATATCATTGAAATAAAGAGGAGAAAGAAGCAACATATACTTTTTTCGAAAATATAGGTAACTGAGAAGCAAAAACCTTAAGTATTTCTGAGCAAACTATACAGAGACTTAAAGCCACATTTTACAAAGACTTTGATGTTGACTGCACTCACTCGCCTGTTTACTGTGTTGCTTTACTAGTGCTCTCATATTCGAAGATTCTCCCTTTGGTAAAAATTAAGGAGGAGAAAATAGGTTCAGATTAGGCCACTTATTGCTCAAATAAGTTCTGGAGAAAATTTTTTTAAAGAATCATCATCTTCTCCCCTCCTGCTAGGTCATCTCTTCCTGACCAGTGAGGAGCTGGTGGCACTTCCTGTCATCAGAGTGCTGCCCTCGGGGAGATACACCGGTGCCAGTTTGAAATCTGTCATTCAGATGCTGCAGGGCTTACTGGATCAGGGAATCCCTTCTAAGGAGCTGGAGGTAAATTACCCAGGCAAAGTTTATGCATTTAATTGTAAGGAAAATGTGTCTTCTTAAAACCCCAAGTTTAGGAGAATTTTTGAAAATTTTTAAAATGCCTATTTCCAAATTAGCTGGAGTTAACTTACTTCGAACTGTGAAAGCACCATCTTATCTAGCAGTAAATAATTTTTCTCACTAGGATCTTAATAGTATTGAGATCATATTAACTGCTTAGAGAGATCATTAAAGAGATTATATGAACTACTCAGAACTTAGTAAATTTCCCTGAAGAGTATCTTCCCTGCCTCATATAAGGATAAAAAGTTAAAAAATAGAAAAGGCTAAGTATAAATTCCAGCCATTTGCTAACCTTCATATGACCTGCTCATCATTAACAGCAGTGGTCAGAGCCTTTGCCCCTGTGTCTGCAGCACCATCCACGTTCAGCAGTGGGTGAGAGGGAAGCAACCCCTCTGTGGGGCTGAGACTGAACTGGCCCCCCTCCCTCAACCCAACTGCTCATTTGTCCACTTCTTGAGCTTTGAGACCTCTAAAAGGAGCTAACTTTTGAGAGTTTTCTGCTGTGTGCTTATCATTTTGTATACATTTCTCAAAATATTTATGCTATTGTATAGATTTAGAAACTGAAGCTAACAGTAATGAAGGCATATACTCTTCTCCAGAAATCTCTTGAAGAAGTAGTACTTAGTTCATGCCAGGACTTTCATTATACTCCTAATAAAGTAGATCTTTGTTTTTCTTTGTCACAGCTGCTTGTTAATTTCTCCAAGACATATTTTGCAACCTCTGCCCATGTACTTCATTGTTTCCTTCTCACAATAGTTGTTAGCTCCAAGAGAGCCATCTTTTCACTCACAGCTGTATTCCCAGAACTATGTACCTTGCTTGTGATGAGCAATATGTATTTTTTTGAGTAAGGGAGTGAATGAAAAGTGAGAGAGAGTTGACTTTAGAACTCTGACTGCAATACCATACATGTGTGACCCATCAGACAGTACTATCAGAAAGCAATGCTCTGTATCATTATTTAAGCTAAAGTTGTATTTTTTTCTAAAATGTTATTGTAGATATTTTTAAACTAAAATTAAAACTTAAGACACAAAGTGTTCTCTCATAAAGTTAGTTGACTACATGTCCAATAAATGTGCTTGCAATAATAAATTTCAACATTGGTTGATCAAATCAGTATTGATTTTAGGTTTATTTAAGACATTTCTGTTAACATCCAAAATCTGCCCTGATCAGCCAATTATGCCTCCCACCCATTAAAAGCAGTTTTAGTTGCTCAATTATACCTTTCACAACAAATTTATCTGCATTTTTGTTTATAGAATCTTCAAGAATTAAAACCTTTGGATCAGTGCATAATTGGACAGACTAAGGAAAACAGAAGGAAGAACAGATACAAAAACATACTTCCCTGTAAGTTCCAATGTGGCTTCAAATTGAATGTATGTTCAGTATCTTTCAAACTGTTTAAAAGTTTAACCTGTCATAGGAATGTGTGCTGTACACACATTCAGAGATTTACTTCAGTAAATACACAATGTGAATTCATTTTTAAATCAGCTATATATTCTAAAAGTGTGAAATCTTAAATATTGGTTAAGATATTTCTGAATTTTTATGATTGCTGTATTTGAAATTAATTTGTGATGCCAAATCAGTAATCTTAAAATCTTTTTTAAAATATGAATTGCAGACCTGAGGATGTATCTCAGTGGGAGAGTGTTTGCCTGGCATGTGCAAAGCCCTGAGTTCAATTCCCAGCACACACACACAACAAAAAAATAAATGGATTAGTTTCTGGATAGATGAGCATTTTCTTGGATTCATGTATCACAACTGCCATCAATTTATTCCACTTAAATTTGCAGAAATGTCTGTGGTAATTGCTAACTATGGACACACATATGACTATAATAACAAAATTAAGCTGCATTAGACTTGTTTTGTTTCTTTTGAGATAGGGTCTTGCTTGCTTACTGTGTAGTTCAGGCTGGCCTTGAACTCACTATATAGTCCAGACTGGCAACAGTCCTCCTGCTTCAGCCTCCCAAGGGTTGGGATCACAGGTGTGTGCCACCACACGTGGCCAGGCTATATTAGATTTTGAATCATGTCAGATACCAGAAGGAAATAAAAGCAGTTACATTAGCCCATACTTTAATCATTTCACAGATGAATAGTGTAATTTAAAGTCTTAAGGTCGCCAGCACATAGGAGGTGAGCTGCTCCCAGTACACAAGAAGAGGCTTCCAGGCCGCTGAACCACCCCCTCCAGCACACAGGAGATGAGCCACGCGGGCACCAGCAACCACCCCACCACCACCAAATAAGACACGTAAACAAGTCTCAAAACCAGATTTCCAGATCACCTACAGCAACCTGAAAGGGAAATGAGATGGAATACTCTGATGCTCAACCACCTGGACTCCCTGAACTGGCAACAAAAGAGGATCTGGAAAAAATGAAATCAGAAATAATTTCTCAGATAACAGCAGAGATTGTGC